TCTTAAAATACTCACTTTTATAATATAAGTGTTATATGCAGCAGATTTTCGCAAGAATTTGTCGATGATTACGCCGGGCTTTGCGACAGATTAGTTATTGTGTAGTGCATAGATTTCACTCATAAAGAAAATGCAAATCAATGAAGACTAAAAAAAATACAACACGGGCGGGACGTGAGCCGACATCCCTGTTCTATGTCCTCTAACCAAATGTGCTACTGTGTCCGCTAGACAAGGCAACTTTGTTTTTTTCGTATTATAAAAATACCTGTTTTGATACAAGAAGGATATAGGGATTCAAGTATATATTTTTTTATGGAACGCTTATTCAGAAAACGGGTTCTTAAAACTACTCAAAGCCAAATAATTTGTCTAGTCTTCAAAAGAAGCAAATAAACCTCTTAATGTGTTATTTCTCCTTGTTCGTGAGTGAGTTATATGTTTGCGTTCCGTACAAAGGTGCTGGTATGAATTTTTATTACAAGCAAGATATATTACAATGTACTTTTAAATGTTCATATCCGACTTAAGTGCATTTTGAACCGTGCGCAGATCAATAAACTGTAATATGAGATGAACGCGTTTGACGTCCACTTTTTTGACATAATCTGTTTTCCCATTTAATGTTTAGTCTGTGGGCCGACCTGAAAAATCTGAACACGAATTTGTGTACGGGAAACAGAATTTAAAACACACTTTTGACGCTGCGTGTCCCGAAAGTGAAAATATTTGAATAATATGTAGGATATAATATGGTGTGACGTAACATGGAAATAAAATATTAATTCATACACATTTCAGCTGTAATTTCAGCCGATTTTGTAATTTCCAATACTGTCTATAACCGGAAAATATAATTACTTAGTAGCAACGTTGAATATTGTTAAACAGAAATGTAGAATGTATATTAATTTAAATTATGTACCTATTATGATTAAAAAAAACGATGTACGATTTAACGATTATGTAACGTTATGTTAAAAAACTCTAAAATGACCTTCTCTATACAAGGTCGAGAGTCTGCACCAATTTTGTTTATAACGAAGACTCGGAACATCGGTCGGTGCGAAACAAAAAACAATCTTTTAAAAACCCATCAAATAAAATTTTGAGAAAGGAAATAAGAAATAAGAAAATATATACTTAGTAAGTTAGTTCTGTATACTTTTTCCTTTGAGCCATTTTATAGTAAGGAAACCTAGGGCCTTGGATGCACAAATGTACAGAGATGCGCGACTGTATATCGAACTTCCCACCTGAAAGCTGTATAACGGGTGCTAACACTAGAGAAAATCCTCCCACATCAAAATAATGCACAACTCTAAAAAATAATAGCAATAATTTCGACCCAATTAGGTTTCAATAAAACAGTTCTAAAAGTATAAGCTGAAACGATATTTTTTTTGATAATTGTCGCTCCCATCCAGACCAAACCAAATGGTCTACTGACACAAGAGAAGATTTTAACATTTCGAACCAGCATTTCGTGGTATTAGCGTGTTTAAACAAACAAACTCACTTTAAAATATTAGCGTATATTTCAAATTCGACTTAACCGGTCGGAATTCAATACAGGTACTTCGCTTTTTGTTCAACATCAATAAATAACATTTTATAAGGAAGACAAGTTTGCATTACATATCGATTTACTTATAAAAATACCAAGACGGCCTTTAAAGTTTTAGGGGCAAAAAAGCTTTATTAAAACGATTCAATTAACAATATCTGGTATGGTTATAAATCGTATAGACAGTAGATAAAATAAAGTAATGGACGGAGAGTAAATTGGAGCGAACAGGACGTTAATCTTGTTAACCGTGGTTAAATATTGCATCCGTTAATTTGCGACATTGAATTATGTGTGCTACAAATAATTAGCTGCATTAAATATTGATACAATCAACACGAACTTAATGTATTAATACAAATACAAATATACAAACACACACACAACAACACAACACACAACACATAACACAACACAACACACACAACACAACACACACAACACTTATTTATACAAATTATATATCAGGATCGTAATAAAATACTGACAATAAAAGGAGTGGCGGCGAGTTTCTTGCCAGATCTCGTTCGCTCTAAGCCCTTAACTTGGGAACTGGTAGTAACTGTAAATTTAGAGGTTTACTGGCGTTCATAGATGTACTATACTACGTATATGAATAGATTATTTTTGATTTTGATATGAAGAGAAAAAAATTAAGTGCCAGTTTGATTCCCACGCGAAATGTTTGACGCTGTTTTTTTATGAAAATCACTTATATGGATTTACATTTTATTTTATTATAGTTTATTACGTGTTCTGGTAAGCGGATGTATATACAATGAAATAATATAAAAATGTAAGCTTCCTTTCACAATTTTTGGGTACGGAACCCTACAAATAAATGGACATGGACGATAAATTTCCCTCAGTGCGTGTGTCTATAGCTATTAATAAACAATAATCGTTACATCGTAAGTTTATGGGCATTTCTTTAAACAATATTAAATTTATTGTGAAGTAGCCAGAGTGAAAAGTATTTTTTGGATGACAAATTATTGCATAGGCAGAAAGTTATGTACATTCAATTATGGTAATTTACTTACTACATATATAATACTTATGGTAATGTACTTTTAACGGTTTAAAACGTTCTGATGTGTCGCTGCCACCACCGCTGCTTAGTAGTTAAATTAAATTCAAAACGATTTAACGAATATAATCCATGTTTTAAACTGTTAAAAAGTTTTATTTAAATACTTTTATTTTGTGTCCAGTCGATCCAAGATGGTTATGGTCTTTTTTTTTGTTAAGATAACAATATGACGCAAGGAACATAAGTTAATTTGAACAAGTTCGTTCCTAAATACCTATAATACGTGAAACAATACTTATTGTACTTATTATGAATCTAAAAGAAGCGGATCTCCTCCGATAAGGTTCAGATGTTGTGAGCTGTTTCTAGAATGCGCCGGTACCGACCTAGTACCTAATAGGTACCTTTTCTACACATAAAATATAACTAATGCACAATAAACAAATACACACTTTTTTAACCATTGGAGTGCTTAATCTTTCGTGAAGCGTGACAGAATCCTGTGTATTTCAGTGGCTAAACGATATTAACAGATAATTATGTTTAAATAAAACACTTTAACGGTTTAAAACGCGATATATTAGTTAAACTTATTTCAAAATGATTTTTAACTTCGACCCGACCGTTTCGGATGCTTTGCAGCCGTCGTGGTCACGGGGAGAAACGTCGGGCCGAAGTTAAAAATCATTTTCAAATAAGTTTAACTAATATATCGCGTTTTAAACCGTTAAAGTGTTTTATTTAAATGTGTACTACTTGCGTAAACTATAGACATTAGATAATTGTGCCATTATTCTCTGCCTCACTGAAGCAGATATGCTTTATGTCAGGATTTAAGCCTTTAACCATTGAGCTACAGAGACAGACATAGACAATGCGCTCAACCAAAGAGTTCATGACGATGCGGTCCTTCCAGCAAATCCATAATAATATTTTACGTTAAAAATCGACATTTTCAATACAAAAGTCCAGCTGTGACAGTTGAAATCGCACGAAACGAGAGATCATATCATCTTTTTTTTAATTGGAAATGTCAGCAGCTATTCTACCGGTTCTGCTTTGTTAATTTTTTTTAGTTCATTAGCTTCAACATATGCGACCTTATTTTTCACGATCGCAAATAAAATACAGGCTCAGTTTAGCGAAATAATGAGTCAAGTTTGTATAGCAATTATCACTTTTGTTTGCGGACGTACCTTTTGTTATACTTTTATAGTCTTAATATTGAGACAACATAAAAATATAATTCGGGATTTACTATTTTTACCGAAATTTTGTAAAGTTACAACTAATAGTTCATATTATAGCCTTTAAATAAACACTTAAACTATGTAAAACGCGATATATATTAGTTAAACTGATTTCAAAATTCGACGTTTCGGATGCTTTGCAGTAGCCGTAATCAGGTAATTTTCAAATAAGCTTAAGTAATATATATCGCGTATTAAACCGTTAAAGTGTTTTAATTAAAATGTGTACTACTCGTGTAAATTACAGACAGTATGTCATATACTAGCTTTCTATTGTTGATGTTTTATAAGTAATAACAGTAATAACATATTATTTTTTATTATAAGTTTTAGTAGCTAAGGAAATTGACAAATGTCATGGCAATTTTTAGACATAGATAAAAAATCTTTCTTTAAAATTCCCTTCAAATATTGAGATCTGTGGTTCAGCAGGTTTATTTACCCAAAACATGATTTCACCTTGAACTTGATCTGTGTGTTCAAATTAATATTTGCACAGAATTTTAAAAAGCTAAAGAGTTTGTCCATTTTATTGCCAGAACTAGTTTGCTTGATTATTTATAAATCAAAATAAATTCTCTCCAATTATAATGTCTGGGAAAATATACAGTGTTTTGGCCAAAAAGTTCGTGTATAAAATTTTGCCTTGTCTCGTGGAATCTTAAATAGTATTGTGTTTTATTCAAAAAGTGTCGATGCACGTAACGAACTTTCAACGAATATTCAAAGTAGACAGCGTTCTAGCATTAATATTTATGTTATGTTTGTAATATACCAGTTTTCGGGGATACGCCGCCAAGACACAAAAAAGAGGATAAAAGCATTTTCTATAATGTCTTCTAATTATTCTTTTTATTATCATGCTTAAAATATTTGTATCTGCACTCACAGAATTTACTAACAAAAACATATTTTCAAAGGCCGTTAAGTTTTTCTTTTAAGTTTAAAGGTCTGATGAAATAAAAGTGGCACAGTAAATGTACAAATTCTTATTATATTTTTTTTCGAAAGGTTATTACAATTTAACTATTAAATCTAAATGATTGAGAGTATAATATTATATTTCTGTATGTTTCTTTTAGTTAAACTCACTGTCTGTTAAAAATATTCTGTGAATTATTTTTGTAAAAAACAAAAAACAATTACTTACCTTCATAGATCCAAAATCAAGCACAGATAACACGCAAATCACAACAATATCTAACGCACCGATAAAAAAAAACAAAACTGTTCTAAATTCAAAAAGCGCGTCAACGCAGAAATGTGTCAGTGGCGTGCGTCGGCCGTCCTAGGGCGATCTGCGTGAATCGAATGCTAATATGAGAATCGAATGAATAATCGAATAAGTAATCGAATGATTTTTGGAGCACGCAACAGCGCCGCGGTACATACGATACTGGTAAACGGAAACGCAGGACGACTTTATAAAAGTTTTTCCACAACAATACCGCGAGTAACTGTACTATTGATGTTTCGGTGCTCTAGCGATCGCGATTCTGATCGTTCGATTGATGTGTTCATTAACCTGGTTTTTTGGTGTTGACGCGCGAATCTGCCTACACTCGAACCATATGACTAACTTGCGCCTGAGTTACCCAATAAATAGCATGTAGAATAAACCCACAACCTTATTCTTTACTATTTGATAGTTGAAGCTGGGTCCAACTGTTTTAAACGTAGATAACAAATAGACATACATACGAATCACACGATATCACACTATCTTTTAAGTTTAACAAACTTAACATTTTAGGCATCGAATTCAAACCTTTGTCATGTTAAAAGTTTCTCTCGACGACACTGTCTACTGTCCATTCAAGTAATTAGTTACAATTTCTGCATTTGCATATGAGATTTTACAGTCTCAACGCTTACTTATAAGCTTACTTAATTCACTATCTCTCTTATAAGTTGGGCAAAATAAAACAAATTTTGTCTGAACTTTAAAAATATATACCTATTTACGGAACGTCTCTAGTTTACGCGAGTATACAGATTTTAATAGAACACTTTTAACGGTTTTAAACGCGAAATATATTAATTAGCTTATGTCTAGTTTATCGTAACTACAGCTTAGCGTTTCCGATGCTTTGCAGCAACCGTTGTCAAAGGGGACTATATGTAACTTACATTTCCAGTTTTTTTTTTACTTTACACAAATCTTTTTAAGCAACCTTTAAACCTCCCAAAATCACGTTATAAAAACACGATTTAAAATAATCAAGAGTATGAATGCAGTAATATAAAAGACTATCCTTTTAAGTTAAACTTTTCGTAAATAATTAATAGCCATCAAAGGCTTACATAATATTCAGACGGATCAACTAATCTGATTTAATAACAGAAAAAGGTCAGCCTTAATTCATGTCTAACAGCTTAAGATTAAATGGATAAAGCGAGATAATAAAATTATAATGTGGCAATCAAAATATGTATGATGCAGTGTGATTGACGAAATAATATTGTCTTTATAAATAAGCAATATAACGAAACGCAAATATTTAAAAACTTTGTTTAATACTTAATATATTAACACGGATCTTTGTAATATATAATCTTTTAAATAAAACACTTTAACGGTTTAAAACAGATGGCGCTAGCGTACCAATTTTTAGTTTGACGTCAGAGACATCCTCCATCTTTAGTCTCCCCGTGACCACGGCTGCAAAGCATCCGAAACGTCGGGCCGAAGTTAAAAATCATTTCCAAATAAGTTTAACTAATATATCGCGTTTTAAACCGTTAGAGTGTTTTATTTAAATGTGTACTACTCGCGTAAACTATAGACAGTATATATAATCTTATTAAAACCAACAGAACTTCCACAGTGAAAAGAAGGATTACGCATAGATTTCAAACAATATTTTATAGATATAGACAGTATGGTCCACAGCTGCTGAAAAGCTCCTAAAACGTCGGATCGGCGTTAGAATAAACACGATTTGCGTTGAAACTCATTATTTGCATAACTAGCTGTGGCAGCGAGTTCGTCCGCGTAGTATAGTTATTTTGGGCATCAACATATAGTATTTTACCCCGCTTCACGCAATTTTAGTTGCAGTGCGCTGTTTTATAGCCTTCGCCGATATATGCTCTAATTATTACAAAACGAATTTTTCAATTCTCCCAGTACTTCCTGAGATCAGCGCGTTCAAACAAACAAATAAACAAACCCTTCGGGCTTATATATTAGTAAAGATAAAGATATTTTTCTTACAGCAGCCCGTACCGTACCGAAAACGGCGTTGTCCTCGATCGTAATATTAATCGGAACATGAAAACCGTGAAGTGGCTCGTTATGAGTCTCTGTGATAAACGATCGATTCCACGGACTTGAAGCCTTAATTATTGATTTAAAGTGTTCGATTATCAGACAAGATAATGCAAGGGTATCGTCAAATGTCACGTTTTAATCAGTTGGAATGTCGCCACACCTGCGCGTAGGCGTGCGACAAAAACAGCTGAGGCAAATTAAGCTACTGACTACGCTATTATAGACCTACTATGTTAAGATATTGTTTTGACGTCGTTGGGCGAGTAGAAACATATGGACCATAATCAACAGGCTGTAAGTTCGATTCTCATCAGGTATAGTATTTTTTAAATCAATGTTTTCGATGCCATAGGTTCGAGCCCTTCTCCAATAAGTTTCTAATCATTTAAATAAAACACTTTAACGGTTTAAAACTTGATATATTAGTTAAACTTATTTAAAAATGATTTTTAACTTCGGCCCGACGTTTCGGATGCTTTGCAGCAGCCGTGGTCACGGGGAGACTGTGAGTCTGTGACTGTGAGACGGATGTCTGTATATTTAACTCATAATAATTTCTGTCTGTAGAAACACTTCATACGGCAAAAGAACGTTTGCCAGGTCAGCTAATTAGTAATAAAACCTCTATATCATTTAATCGTTAAACAAGGAACCTTTTAAAAATGCATTCAGACAAACGTCTCTTGTAAGTGGTGTTTAAATGTATTTATTACGCAGTGATCCAAACGCGATCTCAACTCATTACTGTTCCTGACCGGTGATAAATTTTGATTACCTTTTGTTTTCTACTCGACACCTCGACATAACCTTTGCGTGTACAATTAGTGAGTTCTGCGTATGGGTCAGTTCCAATTACAAGTAAAATAAAGTCAAGTTCTCTTTATTACTTAACTCTATGGAACACGGAGCGGTCACATTTCTATGTCTGTTTTACAAAAGTAAAAACTTACTTGTTTAAAATATATTTGGCTTAAAAAAATAGCCTTTTGTGTCAAGCGCGATCAATTTTTTTTTTTTAATTTTCCTGAGATTCGAACCTTCAACCTTTTGCGTTTAAAGCTTAGCTATTATATTTGAAGAAGCTACAGCCGACGTTTGTTCACAATTTCTTGAAATACGTAGTTAATTAATTTGACTTACGTTATGAGTACTTTTTATAAATCTTAGATCTATGAAGAATTGTATAATATACTTTTCAATAGATATAATATTACCATTTCTTCACCTAAACAGCCTAGAGTGCAAATTTAAGTATCTCAAAAATTTAAACGTACCTAATTTTTTAATCAGTCGTTATTTTTTTAAATTCTTTGTACCCTTATTATGAATTAATTTACAATATTTAATTATCAAAAATTCTTAGTCCTTTAGTAAAGATTATTAAATATTCATTATGTAAAAAGAACTTGTCAAAGTATGGGAACGGCCAGTTTTTTGATCGGTCTATATAAAGAATATCTTGTATTATCATGTATTAACTATTCGAGTTACAAACATGAACTATATCTTGAATATTAAATATTAATTTTAATTCTATTTTATATTATAAAAATATATGACTACGTACCTTGGTTAGCTAAATTACTTAGTATTTAGATTGTTATCTATTTATTATAATAGTATTCATAATTTAAACATACTGACAAAAGGGCTATATTAAACACTAAAAATATACATACCTACTCTAAAGTTATTATTATTTTAGTTTGTTTGTCTGTTTGTTGTATTTTTAACTCGTATGTGCTTAGGAATTTTTTGAAGTAAAATTATGTTTTTGCAACTATCATCTTATCCTTTAAAATTGATTTATTGTAAATTTCGCACGCATTTTAATATTTATTTTAGATTTAAATTTGTAGATTTTATTTATAAATGTTCGTTATCTGTACAACAAGATCATATAACCTATCTTTATCAACTCAATTTGCAGGGCAACAGCGCGAAACAGCCGTGGATTCTTGTTTCGCTAGTGTCAAATAATGCTGTCCAATTTAAAAAAAAAATGTATACTATATATATTTAGTAACACAACATAATATTTTGAACCATGTAACAAAGTCATTCAAGAACACAAGTAACGAAATATATGTAGGCAATTTGCAGCAAAATTAAGTTAATCTTTGTAACAAGTACACGATACCTATCAATTAAAGCTGCTGTAGGTAAATTTAACTGAGTTTTACGAAACGCACGCTTTAACAATAGTATTTTTCCTCAATAATCATAATTATTACTTGAGCCGTACAAATTTTACCAAGAAATTTTAATATTTTTTTTGACAGGCTTGTAACCCAACAGGTAGCAATGTAGGTGAATAACCACGTATCCCCACCGTGGCCACACACAGATGAAATGATGAGTCTTTCAGGTTCAATCTGTGGATTTCAGAATATTTAAAATAGGTCTATAGCGCATGTGCACTTGCTATATGATTGGAGTATTTCATCTTCCAACAAGAGTACCTCATGTTTGTTTGTTCTCTTCTATTATATAAAGAATGAAATAACTTTGTTGGAATTATTCAAAAAAATTATAATACTTACTAATATTATAAATGCGAAAGTAACTCTATCTGTCCGGCTTTAACGCCGTAACTTCTGAACTGATTTAAATGAATTTGGTACACAGATATTCTAGAGCCTGAGAACATAGGCTACTTTTTAATGCCAGAAAAGGGTTGTTAGGGGTTGAAAAGGGGGGGTTTCGTGATTTTTGAAGCTAGAACAATTAAACTTTCATCGTTGGGTTTTTGGTAAAGGTAGTGAGAGTAGGAGTGATGTGAGGTGAGGCAAAGTAACACTTACAACACAGATTGACTGCCTCGAATGCGCCCTTTTAGAAATAAATAAACAGCCTAAATAATTACCTATTAATTCTACCCAAAGTCACTATTCCGCACAAAGTCGCGGGCACAGCTAGTAACTAATACACGTTGATACTATTACTCAAAGCAAAGCCAACTCGGATTTACGATATTTTTTGTTAGTTGTACCTAGGTGTAAATATTAAGTGAAAACCAGTTAGTTTTTTTGGTTCATGTCGATAGACTTAAGGCGCCATAAATAATACAATTAATATTACTGGATTGAAATTATTGATACCTTGTTTTTTAATTCCATTAACGAAATGTCAATTTTAAGTTTACATTTTGTACTTCTATGAATAGATAACGATACGTGTTTAAAAATAAATGTATGTATTATCTTTCCAACATTTAATTTAGTAAGTACCTTTGCTTTTTTTATTATTATTCCTTACACCTACCCACGTAAGAAGCCCTTTTTATTTCTTTTCTTCTGTACATCAGGTTGCCTGGAAGAGATCGCTGCTTAGCGATAAGGCCGCCTTTTATTTATAAGCTATGTGGTATATATTATAAATAATAAAGCCAAAAAATAAATAAATATATTTTAAGATAATCACAGTTTATTTAGATGGTGTCTGTGCAATTTTGGACACGAGAATTAAGTTTTAACAGTCTATACTTCACGCGAATGGTACATAAAATAAAATACTTTGTAACATATTTGCTCGTAAAGTGATTGTAATTACACCAATTTCATTATCTCACTACGTACTTGTGCGATAATGTAAAAGACACGTGTTTTTTTAAATAATGTTTTAAGATGACTTTCAACCATCTACGAGCACACAGGCGTACATTCCACCATCGTCGCCGCAGCCGCAACCGCCTCCGTCGCCGCAGCCGACGACTGCAGAACTCTGTGGTCTCGTTTCTCCTACTTCCACTCAAGAGAGCGAGAGAAAAACTAGGAAAATTGTAACTAATAATAATTACTTAACAACATTAAAAGTGCCAACTGGCACGTAACAATCACTTTTAAAAATTTTATAACTACTTTAACAATTAATTAAAGATTTATTCGTTTAACTAAGTAAGAGTTTTATTAATTTCCTCGTAAATATGTTATAAAACGTCGTATGACATACGTGCGCTTTAAAAATTACAACCTCTGCTTTTAGCCCTGGCCGATGGCTCGGGCTAGTAATATCGCCTCGGCTGTAATTTTCAACTTACCGCACTTATATCATAATGTACTATTATCGCTTTAAAACGTGAAATATATTAACTTAACCTAACCGGATGCTTTGCAGCAGCCGTGGTCACGGGGAGACTAAAGATGGAGGATGTCTCTGACGTCAAAGTAAAAAACTGCTACGCTCGCGCAATCAAAGTTCATCAAAGTCTCTGACGTCAGAGACATCCTCCATCTTTAGTCTCCCCGTGACCACGGCTGCTGCAAAGCATCCGAAACGTCAGGCCGAAGTTAAAAATCATTTTCAAATAATTTTAACTAATATATCGCGTTTTAAACCATTAAAGTGTTTTATTTAAAACGCAAAAGATAATCAAACCCGGAACATCACGATATTAACCAACAATTAAAAACTACTATTAACCATAACCTACCATAATATCACGTTTTGTTTTAATGAAAGTAGATGATTGATTATAAATAATTGTCTTTCGGTATTTCTAGACCTCCGCGGAGTCTGGTTTTTGTCCCACTGTCTCGTAGTCAGTAGTGTGGCGTATTTCCTTTGGGGCCAGGTTAATTACTGCTTAATTAGTATTGGCGGTATGCCTACCACGTAGTTGACGTACGCTAAAATATCTCTACCACATCGTAAATAACTATTGGAAGCAAAAAAAAATTTTGAATTCCTCAACTTTCAACGAACAAGCATTGCATACAAACTTTATTATTTTTCACGTGATGGCGCAATATAAATTACTAGTTGGTATGCTCGCGACTTCGTCCGCATGAAATAGTTATTTTATACGACTTAGGTCGCGTCCCTTCCCGTCGTTCTTGCGGGATAATCTTAAAAGATAGACATATAAAAGAGGAATCATTCTTTTATACATATTTTTGGGGTATTTTGTACCGTTTTTGCAGCGTACGCTTCGGAAACCCACAAAAATGAATAATTTTCCAAATTTTATACAAAAGTATTCATTAAATAAAACTCTTTTAACGGTATAAAACACAATATAGACGTGCCGTCAGCGTCGTATCATTATATTGAAATGTGCATTATACGCATTGTAATAAAATTACATACATATTTTCAAACACAAAATGATTGTCGAATCAAAGATTTTTAATGTTAAATTTGATATGTAAAGATGTTTTTTTCATACAAATTATATGGTTAAAAGACGGCTATGAAAATGACAATACGCACTTAAATATTATGAATGATTTTTATTCATTCTAGTGTCTGTAGCGAATCTGATGATTTTTGTTACGAAAAAATAGTTCCTACGCCTAAACTACTCAGTTGATTTTAATGAAATTTTGCAAATATGCTCACCTTCCTGAAACATCCTAATGCGATATGGCGTATACTGTAGTTAGTTTTAAACAGCCGTTAAGTAATATATTTAAATGACTCGCGAACTAGACAATAGTGAGAGTGTAATCCCGTTTCCCCCGTTGGGAACTCATTTCTGTGTTCGTTTCACTGATAAGTTTTTAATTACAGGCAAGTAGTTGATCAGAAGCCTATTATTTCCCCGGGATTCGAATTCAGGATCTCTCGCGTTCAATCAAATGCTAGGCAACAAATTTAACCATTTAGCTACAGATAACAATACTCACCAACAAATTAACTTGTAATTTTATGAAAAAAAAAACACTGCAATACATTTTCCACAGTTGTTAAAAAAACTACATCTTCATAATTCATTGTTTAATAAAGATCTCTGTTATCGCTTAGATTTGTAAAAGAAATCCGATATCTATATTTACACTTAATAAACATCTTATAATCACAAAAATCATTGTTCACAACAAATTCGTACAGACTCATTCTTTTATATATGTCTATTTACAATATATAGAAATTCATACAACTTGAGAACCACTTCCACATAGACAAGTAGTTTACGAGTAACCGAGGTACATACGAAACATTTCGTAGCAGTCTTGTGTATAGTTTGAACAACAACTCATATTACGATCACTTAAGAAATAATCATAAATATAAATAAAAAAAATATATAATTTACTTTAAATCGTTTCCTTTGACAAGTGGAGTTTTGCAGATGTCGTTAAACACCATATAATAACCGCAAAACTCACGCGCACTGGGTTTCGAATCCTGGAATAGGGCGTAAATTTTATTTGGATTTTTTCTATGAGAACTTCCCAAGTTTTTAAGTCGGTTTAATCAAATACCGTCTGCAGTGCACGCGAGTAGTACACATTGAAATAAACGAATTTAACGGTTTAAAACGCGATATATATTAGTTAATCTTATTTGGAAATTATTTCACCTACGGCCGGACCTTTCGGATGGTTTGGAGCAGCCGTGGTCACGGGGAGATTATAAGTTGAATAAGTTTAACTCATATATATCGCGTTTAAACTATATAATACTATTAAAGTAATTTATTTAAATATTAAATCTATTTATGTAGCTGTCTGAGAGGGCTGTGGTGATAGACCCACTGTCCCTTGATTATTAGTATATAGGCAACTTTTTGGACTATCTAAGTTATAAACCAAAATAAAGACGGTTGATTCAAACATTTAAAGATTTGGATGATGCGATATATTTTCAAACTATATTTTTAAATGCTGCTTACCCCCTCCTTTTCGTTTTGAATCGTGTAACTGACATTTGTAACGTTACTTCGTTACGCATAACCGGGTTATGCCGTTATAAAATGACAGTGTTCTTGTTGAAACTACTGTCAGGTCAAATATGGTACTAAAAACAAAATGTTACGTTGCTTACACAGAATACTGAACTAACCAGAAGTCGAGGTACGAAAGCCATGGACCATTAAACTACTTTAACTGGAGTAGTTCAATAACAATGTTTTCTTCATAAAACACATGTTAGTTGGAGAGTGATTGTGGACACAACACTACTGGTTTTATCTGTATTCTATGGTCACATATATAACTCGACATCTACTCTGTATAATGTAAATAGGTAGTTCATATAAAAATCTAGCTCATCTATAATCCTCAAAAAACACACACCACTGTAATATTTACAACGTATGTACACTACACTCTAAGACGCGCGTCTTTTCAACGTCACTTTGCCGCGGGCTAACTGCGTCACGAATATCCGGACGCGTTCCGAGTTCGTCTTCTTTACGCAGACCTGAAACGCAAACATTATAAGTTAGACATTTTTAACCGTTTAAAACGCGAAATATATTAGTCTATAACATTTTTCCTAAAAGGTAATATTTGTAATCATTGTCTATGGCTGGATAGTACAAGTATACAACGAAGGAAGTCACGACAGTTAATTGTTATGCGTTTATTTCAACCTTCCATTAAATGAACATCATGTCTGACAGTCAGATATCGCATATAAAAATTATGCTGAAATTGGAACAAAAATTGACAACCTTCATGTGGAGTTGTAAATGTTGACAACATGGCGTGTACTACCTAGATTCGAACACCGAGGAAATAATTGGTTACAGTCGGGTAGAGCACACGTTTGATTATTTGCCTTTAAGTAAAATCAATTAGTGACAACAAATGGATAATGAATTCCCTCTTGCCCCATGGGGGGGGGGATAACGGATTTTTATACATAACTCTTCTACTCTTGTTTTCACAGATGCCCGTTTCAGACATTTCACTGCGCCACATTAAAAGAAGTTTGTGTCGAAATTATGGCATTTATAGAATAGCTTATAAAATTGTCTTTCTAATTGCTAAACTATAGACAGGGCATTCTAAACTATATTGGCATTTATGTACACAATACAAGGATAACAACAAGGGAATCGGCTAGTCTTAATTTTTTATGATAGATGGGGATAGAAAAGCATGCGGCTAACTGAAGGTAGGTGAAATACTACATAACATCTCAACAGGATGCGCTGTCGGGATAGTTTGGCTTTGGACATTCAAAAACTCGCTGACTGTAACCGAAACGCGATTAAACTTCACAGCTTTTGCATCTGTGGACGGTGGATCGTGACTGGAACGGAATTTCGATATTCCAGTTATTTAATATCTAGATTTTCAGACGAAAGCCCGTTGATTATTAAGCTTTGCTACCATTACATCAACGAGCACGTCAAACGTGAGCAATAACCCACCGCTTCATCAGTAATAGCGTGTATATGTGCTGGGAAACGCGGCATGTCTCTGCCCTCTACGTAGACACTTTGTCCCCGGTGGAACCATCTCCTCTCGTAGAGCAATTTTCCATCTTCCACTCGGGTCTCAGTCATCTCTCGCTCAGACACATTCTCTCTACCTGGAGAATCACCTGGAAGGAGAAAAGAAAATTGAATGCTTGAAGTATGGAAACGCTAAAATATATGGCTAATAAATAATATGCTCGAAGGTTCGCTAACCACCGGATAAAACCAAATTAAATACATGGTAAGAATATCAAAATTCCAACCAGGTTACGCGAACAACACCTGTAAAAACCCTTGAAGTTTAGTCGCGTTTCATTTTCAGTCGTAGTGTATATATGCAAATCTAGAATAGGTCGACATCACTCTTTTGACTCATTGACATTTTGACATTCTTGTTTAGATGTTATATAGCCGGGGTATTTCTTCTTCTCTAGAGGGAACCCCACAGTATTGTTACCTAATTTATACTAATATATTAAGCTGAAGAGTTTGTTTGTTTGTTTGAACGCGCTAATCTCATGAAGTACGGGTTCGAAATAAAATTCGTTTTGTGTTGGTTAGAGCATTGATCGAGGAAGGTTATAGGCTATAACACATTGCGATATGACTAATAGGAGCGAAGATACAGCGAGAAATGTAAAAAAAACGGGGGAAGTTTTTCATCTCTGTAGGTTTCAGATGCGTACGCTGCGATAACGGTTCAAGATACCTAAAAATTGTGTACGAAAGAATGATTCCCCTATAAATGATCTAAAAAAAAGTCCTTTACACTATTTGTCTATCTTTTAAGATTACCTTGCAGGAACGACGAGAACGGACGCGATCGATGTTGTGGCTAATAGCTTAAGTTTATAAAGATGACCGGGTTTGCTAAAACTTATTGTAATGCCCAAAATAACGATTCTCCCGGACAAAGTCGCTGGTACAGCTAGTCTATCATAAAATATTAATGAATCTCAAGAAGTACTATTGGAAATTCAGGCCACTTTAGGATATAGAGGACAAGAATGGGGCTTTAGATTTTTTTTAATAAATTTCTTGACACACACAACTACAAACGTATTAACCAAAAATGAGCTCATCCGATAGAAGGCTGGTTAATGATTATGTAACTTACAACTATTTGAATTATGGCGTTTCCTAGGCTGTGTAGAATTATGGGAGGGAGTATGGTGCCTTGGTGGTGGTGAATTCCTCGATATGGCTCTGAGATCTGCATCAATATCCCTGTCGTCGAGTTGAAACGTCAACGTGGTGGCGAGAGGTTTCCTACGCTTTTCTGGTGCAGGGGCAGGCTCGTTAGCACGTCTCCGCAGTATTCTTTTCATTGGCGGCTTCACCTGTAAGTGTAAATTGAAAAGCTATAGACAAAAAACATTGCATGTCCTTCCTTTTCAGTTACGATTATAAAATGAATTTAGAAAGGTAAGGTTTGATATATTTTTTAATCTATGAAGTAAACATTTGTAAATAAAACATATGTACTTGTTTCATCGTCTATATTAGCACATATTTTCTATACTTAAATTTTAATTATTTGCATAATCAAAATATGAAACAGGTTATGGTGACTATATTTTCTGCATTTATAGGAAATAACTCCTTTTGTTTTTCTTATAGACCATTTCACTCACACAGAAGAGAGTAAATACTACTTTCTCGCGCACAAGAAAGTTGTGTGGATCGAGAGGGTAGCAACCAAGTGGTTAATCAACATAAAAATAATCACAACTGTTTAAATACATATCCAGTGTAGTTTTGCCTGATATTCGCCTACATTATATGAGCAGTCAACTGATGTAGGCAAAACTAGCAGTCAAGTTGGCGATAGAAGGAGTGACGGCGAAATTTTTGCCAGTTAATCTCGTTCGTTCTACGCCCTTGATTTGAGAACTGGTAGTAAATTTTAAATTTTTTTTAGTTTTGTGAAGTTCATAAGTGTATGTAGTTACCTACATGAATAAATTATTTTTTTGACTTGAATGAACAGGTATTAAATATTAAAAAATAATGCTTAAATTGTTAAAAATAGGGAGCATTATTTCGATTTAAGAACCACATTAATATGTAATTGAAAGCAAGGATGTACAGGTATTTATGTTTTACAGTATAATATATTAATACACTAAATTAAATCTTACAATATAAAGTAAATGTACTCAATAAATTATTTTGATGTTTTGAATATAAATTGTATTACCTCAATGGAGTCTCCATTCAGTTCCATGCTGTTCCGTTCACTCTCAATTGCATTCCGTTTCACCTCCAGATCCTTGAGTAGGTTTTCCTTCAGCTCAATCTTCTTATCTTCAAACTCTTTAGCAGCTGCCTTCTTCTCTGCGATATACTCCCTCTCTACTACTTCATACATGTGCTCCCTAAAGATTTAATAAATAAATTCTATTTTACTAATCTCATTTATAACATGTGATCTAGGTACAAAATGGCCTACAGTTGAATTCTATGATAAAGCAAAAACTTACTTATATATTTTATTTAGTCGTAGTCTCTCATGCAACTGGTGTTCCAAACGCTTCACTCTTCTGTTGAACTCGGGGTAAATATTATCTTCTAGTTGCTGTAGCTGCTTCTTGAGATTCATTAACTTTACCTCATAGACCCTGAATAATATTAATAATTAATACCCTTGACTGTACAACAATAATTACACATTAAATTTCTTGTAGTAAGAAGATTTAGTTTCTTTCCATCTATATTTTAGCAACTGTGTGTTCTAGTTGGTATAACTGGAGTTTTTCTTTTCTACAAGAATGTCACAAATATAGAAAATTAAAAATACTAACTGTTCCTTTAACTCATGAGGTTCATCATTTGGTAGCTCAGTCTCACTTGCTTCTTCTGTATCTGTAAAGTATACAGTAATTTTAAACATTTTAAGTTTAGCAATTAGTTTACAATAATGCAATAAGATATGAATACATTAAGTTGTTTTTAATTTGATTATGTAATTATTTTAAAATTGGATACATTTGTGTTAAGTAATTTTTTAAATTATATTATTACTTGACAAAGTGTGAAAACTAATAACTATGGGAAAGTAACACGAGCACATTTTAAGGCTGAAAAAAACAATTTGAATGCTAAAAATTACTTAGGAAAGTACAGGCAACTCAATAGGTGTATAGCACTGTAAAATGTAGGCGAGAAAAAATATACTACCACAAGAACAAGTTTTACGTCTCAGTGTTTTTCATTTACAGCTAATGATGGGTAACTAACACTAAAAAACATGAAACGGAAAAGTCATGATGCTAAATAGGGCCATATAAAGCCATCGTAAACAAAACAAACCTTCATCACTATCATCAACTAAAGGCGGCGGCAATGCATCTTCCGGATCTCTATATTCATCTATATCATCGTAGCCATCATCTTCAAAGTCGTATTCATCCCCGGGGCCCGAATATGGTGATCCTTGATACGACATGGTTGAAGCGACGCGTAACAGTTGCATACAGGCTGACTGCGTCTCACTAATCTAAATAATAGCTCTTGACATAAATTTAGCAGCACAATTTGCATTAGCACTCCCAAATGTAGTGTAAACCACACATGGAAAGATTTTCACGTTTAAATCATAAGTAAACTCAAAACTGTGCCTTTTGTTAACACTGCCAAAGCGAAAATCCTATGCCATTACCTTTCAAGGTAGCAACACGAAATGACAGTTGACAGAAAGCAAAGTCGATACAATTATTATTGAACTATCGATTACTATCGCATTTTTGAAAGTTAACTGTATAGTATTTTCATATAATAATGTACTTTAAGTATTAATAAGTGCAATAAATGTCTTAAAATTTAAATTTTTTTTCAATCTTTTTAAAGATTCTAAACATAATCCTAAAAATAAAATTTGTATATTTATCAATTAATACAATGTACATTCCTAAATCGATTATAGGAAACGCTTCTGTCAATTGAAATTAATTAAAATGATGACAGGAACGCCTGTCAAATAAAGCGAAGGGACTGAAAGGAGGTGGACGTCATCTAAAACTCTAAAATTATAGTTCATTTATTTTTATTATATTGCAATGTTATGTGATTTATACTGATTTACAGTACAAGTGTTATTATTTCTCATCACAGAATGTCGTGTATCTTTTGTTAGAACGGATTTTTCATAAAGAATAGTGACGGTGACGCTTTACGCTTTTGTGTCGGTGATGTAATTTGTGATTGGGTGGCTTCCTAGTTCTAGGCGTTGCAATGGAAGAATCCTCATTTACAATTCCCGCTGATGACAATGGTGATACTGAGCTCGATCCTAGAATACAGGTCAGTCAGTGACGGTAACATGTTTTGAGTAATATTATAACGCTGCCCTTGCAACAGCAAAGATGAGTGTCAACTTTGTAGATTATTTCGCCAACGAACACAATGGATACGATATACTATATCAAAACATGAAATACGGACTCATAGCTAGTAAAGAGCTCTCAGAGTATTTCAGAGAGAGATCAAATATAGAAGAATCAAACTCGAAACTTTTAGCGAAACTAGCAAAGCAAGCTAATAGTAATTGCGCTCAGGGCACTTTCGCGCCGTTCTGGGGCGTACTTAAGTGTTCCGCCGAGAAATTGTCAAATTTGCATCAGCATATGTTTCAAAAGGTCAGTGAGCTTGTGAAGGATGTAGCCCGTTATGCTGATGAATTACATAAGAAACACAAAGCTGTCAAAGACTCGGAATCTAGCACTCTTGAAGTTGTCTTATTGATTCAAAACACCAAACAGGCTCTGCAAAAGGCTAAAGATGCTTACACAAGCAAAGCTACAGAATTAGAGAAGCTTCGAAAAGATAATGGTTCTGCTAAGGACTTGGAAAAGGCTGAAGTGAAATTGAAAAAACTTCATGAGGACTATAGGCAGCTTGCTGAAAAATATAGTTTTGTTAAACAGGATTTTGAAAAAAAGATGACACAAACATGTAAACATTTCCAAGATGTGGAAGAAGCACATTTAAAACAAATGAAACAGTTCTTCAATTCTTACGCTGACCTTATACAAAATAACCATGACCTTATGGGGCAGGTACATAGGGATTTTAAACATCAGTGTCTTGAATTAACTGTAGAAAAATTATTAGAACAGTTTCTTATGGAGAAGTACACAGCAATTGAAAAAGGTAACCTTGTTGAACTGCCTCCATCTTTACCGAAGCCAAGTTCGGCAAATAATTCAATATCAGAAGCAGATCAGATATCCTCTGTCTCCAATGGGTCACATAAGCCACAAGTTACAAAAGCCCCAAAGAAAGAGCCCTCATTTGCTACCAAGACATCACGGAGAACTACCTCACTGTTAAATTTATTTACTCCCAATTTTCAAAGTAAAGATGAGCCAAGTATTAATCCCGAAGGTGCAGCCCCATGTTCAGCACCTTCTAGCCCCAGTGGAACTCCAGCAACTCCGGTCACAACAGAGAAAGACGAAAAAATGGACAGATCTACTCTGCGAGAGTCTAAATGGTTCCGCAGAACAAAGACCAAACTGAAAAAGTCTAAGAAGAAAAAAGATGAAATATCAGAGAACTCTAATGCAGGAGAGAAGTCTGATTTAGAAGAGAAAGAAGAAGAAGTGAACACAAAGGAGGATTTAATAAATTCCCCAGAAGTTGACGAGGAAGGTTACTGTATCAGACCTAAAGATGATAAAGGCAGTGTCTATTCTTCTTCAGACTCAGATTCAGAAGAGGAAAGAGAACAGAAAATACACGTAGAGATAAAGCCAATAACTAATGGTAATCCACCGATGTCAGCAAGTGTTGACGAATTGAGGGCCACTGTTGAAAATATTTCGCTATACAAAATAGGCACGACACGGCGTGGCTCGAATGCTAATGCAAGTAAAACCAATACTGATCTAGTTGACTTGAATTCCTTTGCCAGTCCTAATGTCAGCAATCCCACTTCACCTCATGCCAACCTGTCCAATCCATATTCACCTTTACAAGGGAACCAATCACAGTTCCTAGAAAGTCCACCTCCCATCTCAACAACGACTGATGTCGGAGACTTATTCACTGAAGTCGGTGAAGTTTCTCAATCAAATTTTCGAACTTCGACACCCACAATCTCCACTATCTCTCTCCCCCGGCCACCGTCTAGGAGATCTGAGGGAGACTTCCGTACTGCCGGGTCGTCAGGGTCACGAGGACCGTCCCCACTAACCATAGGCATGGCTGATACCATACCCCTTGCTGTCGCATTTCATGAAATTATACATTCGTATTTCAGAGGAGCAGAGGAATCTAAGTGCCAAGTTAAAATGTCTGGGGACATGATGCTTTCGTTTCCGACAGGTATTGTCGGGGTTCTGGCCAATAATCCGAACCCAGCCAAACTTTGTTTCAGACTGAAAAACATACATAGACTAGACAATGTGTTGCCGAACAAACAACTAATAAGCATTAACACCATGATGTCCAGTCGGGATAGTACAGTGCTAGAGTTCAACATGCCCGCTCTGACCTCACTTCTCAAACGTCAATCTGAAAAGAATCCCACCGCGCAATACTTCAACGTCGATATAGTGAAGTACCAGATACGTCCAAAGACGGGAGCCGCATCTTGTCCTTTACAAATGGTCTCCTATTGGAAATGTGAGCCCGACCACACAGATCTGAAAGTAGACTATAAATACAATTTGCACGCTATGAGCCCGCCATCGCCCCTTCTGAACGTGTCTGTGTGTGTGCCGATGACCGGGTCAGTTCGCAACGTGATAGCCATGCCGAAAACCATCTGGAATGGTGACGCGGAGCAGGCGTTCTGGCGGTTCACCGAACTGTCCCAGCATTCTGAGGACAGAGGCGTGGGATCACTGAAAGCGAGGTTCGAGCTGGCTAAAGGTCCTTCCGCTAAGGCTACAATATCCGCCCAATTCAACTGCGAAGGGGCTACACTGTCGGGTATTGAATTTGAGCTGATAGGTAGCGGATATCGTCTGTCGCTGGTCAAACGACGTTTCGTATCTGGCAAATACATTTGCGATAGTGACATGCAATAATATATCCATTTCGGTTTTTGGTTTCGTACCTTATAGGACTGTTTCCTGTCCACAAAAGAATGTTTTGTTCAATGTTAGCTGTCAATTTCGATTGAAATTAGCCCTAGATGTAATGATAGTTAACTAAACAGCATTTTATATTTATATAAACTGTATTCATTGCTGACTTCTCAAAATACATAGATATGTGCCATCCTTATTCTGTATATTATGTTAATTCATGTATAAAGATCATCACAATTTTATAGTTCTAGCATAAGTCAATGCACCAAGAGATAAAAGCTTTAAGAATGTGATCTATCACTTTGAAAGTATCAACAAGAGTATACAGACTTTCAATACTATAGTTTATATCTAAATTGCTATCTACCTCTTCTGGTCATTATATTCCATGTATGTATGTTTGGCTTTCGTATTCTTAATTAGGTTTAATCGGTCCCCACAATGCGTGTGCAATATTTTTATTAATTTCACCACGAATTCAAAATTACGAACATAGACAGGTAGCATGATATATTTTCTTAGTGAAAGTTTTTATGGACTTATGATTTTATTCTGTTTCTAATTAAGGTAGTATTACTTATTGTTATACATTTTATAATAATTGATATGGATATTTTTTTTTCATTATTGTTACTCGAGTTTATTGTAAGATTCAATCAATGTAATTGATGAAATTGAATCTCCGAAATTGAGGTATTACCTGTGGAATTTATTTTTCTGACTTTAGATTTTTTTATAATTTCCTAATTGAATTAATTTGAGTTTTAGTATGTTAGCATTTAATTTTACTCGAGTGTAATCTCATTTTGTTATCTTTTATATTATTCGTATGTTATTCAAAAGTTGCAGCTCGGCCTATAAATCGACTAGCTATGTCAAAATTAAAATGTGAACCATTCCATAACATTATTTCATCTAACATAGTTGTTAGTTTAATTATTAGAGGTCGCATAATTTAATTTTCGTTAGTAATACATAGCGAACAATCGGAGACAAAAGTGTTTTGGCGATCCTATTTTTGTATTGTTGAAATGTCACATGTAACTCTAATGTAACTTAATTTTAATCCGAAATAAAAATAATATAAGAAGCGAAATGTTTTTATTTACGCGTCGATAGAGCGACTTTATGTAAGTATACGTTGTTTTATAGTTAGGCGCTTTTGTAGGGACAGGAAACTATCTGTAAGGTACATTCGTAGTATGATAATATACGGTTATCTAGCGAGATAGTAGATAAGACCATTGTAGAGTCGTTACGATGTCTCGTATGTTTCCCGTCTCTACATGCTGTTTGCTGTTGCCATACGTTTGGGAGTACCGCGTGAATGTGCCGTGTGATTGTCTCAAGTTTTTCAACGATTTTCAGGTGGAATTGGAGAAGCTGAACGCGGCCACGGACGAGATTAATAAGCTGGAATTGGAGCTGGATGTAAGTCGTTTTTTATTAGCTTTTACGCGGCGATAACATTATAGCGTAGAGATAACACACTTTCGTCAATGTTTTAGGTGTGCTAAATTAAAATTTCATATATTGCAGTCATTAATTGGTTAATTTTTACTATTTCTTCGCTTTTTCGTCTGTGGGCGGTGGTTTGTGACCTAAACGGAATTTAGTATCCAGATTTCCAGACGAAGTCCAACGTTTTAGAATTAAATATAAATTGATTAAAAAATGTTTGACCCGGTGGGGTTCGAACGCGCGACGCGTTATTTTTCAGCCAGACACTACTACCATTGATAATAATTTCTATCTCTGAATTATAGCATCAATTGTGAATATGGCTAATTAGATTTTGAAATATCTTTTACAAGTGAACAGTCGAAGATGCTTAACCGCAATTTATATAAATAAAACATTACTTAATATGTAAACTAAAGTTGATCTAAATAAAGACTGAACATAAATACATTAACGTAGATAAAACAAATCATGGACTGGAAGCCATCGTCTATAGGAAGCTATTAAAATCCCACGTTCATTTCCTGGAGTTTCGGTTATATCCCTACATACTAAGAAATAGTAATAGTAATTCTTCCAAGTATTGTCTGTTGGTTACGCGAGTAGTCGACATTTAAGTACAAGACTTCTAACGCAATATATTAGTTTACTTATTTAGAATGTTATTAACACCACGGCCCGACGCAACAAAGCAGTAGGTATATTTCGCGTTTTAAAGCAATAAAAATCTTTTAAATAACGTACTTACGTACCTTTAAGGAAAGACAAAAGAACAATTCCTATATAGTAATGTGTTGTCTCTGTCACGCAATACATTAGTTTTACCTTTAACTAGGTTTTAAACGCCCGCAACCTTTGAGTAATATATTCTTGATTAGACAATTAATTAATTTATAATATACTAGCAATGCAAGCGACTTCGTCCGCGTAAAATAGCTATATATATTTTTTTGGGTGTCTTGAACTGTTTTCGTAGGGCGAGCAACGGAAACAGGATAAATAATTTTTCCTTTTTTCCTCATTTTCCTCGATTTCTTCGCTCCAATTAGTCGCAGCTATGTTTTAGCCTTCCTCGATAACAATCGAAGCAACACCTAAAACATTTTTTTCAATTCGAACCAGTAGTTCCTGTGTTTAGCGCGTTCAAACAAACGAACAAACTCTTCAGCTTTATATATTAGTAAGATATGTACAAATAATTTCTGATCTCGCAAGTACAGTCCCAGTGCGTCCCCGCATAAAGAATTCATGGTCCGGCTCACAAGTGGCAGGTGGCGACGGGTGCGTCGAGCATTCATCAAGGTGTAACGCGATCGTTTCCAGTCTTCCGTGACGATTCTGTTACGCTAAGACTGTGTCGTGTTACAAATATTTATCTATATGTCATAAGGCTTCCGAGATTAGGTTTTGAGACCTGAAACTTTAATGTATTTACTTTGCTTGGAAGTGATGACTTTTTAAATTCGACAGCTTCGTAACGTGACGCGTTCCGGCTTCAGTTACGAATCACGGGTATAATCAATATCTTGAAGTGAAATGAAATGTAGAAATCATAAAACATTACCAATAATAACATGTATGTTTACTCGAATACGTACGTATACACCTTTAAATAAAACACTTAAATACTGTCTGTAGTTTACGCGAGTAGGACACATTTAAATAAATGAAAAAATATTTTTAACTACGGCCCGACATTTCAGTCTCCCCGTGCCATGGCTGCTGCAAAGCATCGGGCCGTAGTTAAAAAATATTTTTTTAAACAAGTTAAACTAAAATATATCAGCGGTTTTAAACCGTTACTTTTATTTAAGTAAACTTTTTGGTTCAAAACGCGAAAAATATTACTATTGTAAATGACGGCCCGTTGTCAAAATAAATCGTAAATACATTACTGAACTTGTATTGTATTTCACGTTTCAAACTGTTTAAAATGTATTGTTTAAAAGAGATTGTATTTGCATACACATAGTAATGACCTATTAAAAGCAAATATTTATACCAATCAAGTTTAACAAAACTTTCAGGGCACCTGTATTTTATTAAACGGTTTTATTTAGCTCGACCCGTACAGAATTTATTAATTTGGGTCAAAATTAGAAATTTAAATTTAAGCACCTTCTCGTTATCAGATTGATCTGAAATTTGGTACGCACATTTATTTTAGATGTCAATACAATATAATAAAATCAATAACATTATAAATCCAAGATGGCCGCTGATACAAAATGGCGGATTACATATTTCTCCTTAATCCCCTCAATATGCGTATCAAATGAAGGAGGACACTAGGAAAACACGATGATTATGTCATATTTTAAAAAAGTTTTGTAGTTTTCAGTACACAAAAAATAAAACCGTTTAACTTAAAAGTTTTTTTAAGTTGATACTTGTACTTGTTGTGAGATAATGACACGAGATATTATGTAACAGCCAACTTTAACCTTTTGCGAATAGCCAACACAACATCCTATGTTCATATACGAATTGTCGCATAGTTATGCAACTTAAGTATGAGCGACACCAACGCCCGCAAAAGGCTTACGGGAAATTGGATTAAAATTTAATATCGCCGTATAATGTTACTTTCGATCAGCATCGAAAATGTGGTAATACCGTCTTAAGACTAATGTTTTCTAATATTAAGTATGCAATGATTGGATAAGGGCTTTTTTAAATTGTGTAAGGCTTTCACGGCCATCGTTCAGCATATCATTGTGTTTCGGGCTGTTCGGCCGATGTGAGCGAGAAGAGTATGTAAAAATCTTTGTTGCTCGAATTGTAGCAATGTATAATCGACGTGTCGTGGATTCGATGCCCACCAGGTTCATAGAGTAGGAATATCGAAATTCGTAAGTTTAATCGGGTTTCGGTTTATATAGGTCGGCAGCGCAACTTATTAAGATGTTGTATGGCTGGAGTATTTCATCTTCTATCAAGTAAAGCTCGTCTGTCGTCGATATTATAACCTCATCGTGCACAATTATCAATAAATATATCAATTTTTAATCTATACAGTTTTCTAACATTCTTTAACCTCCTGACCAAGGAAGGGGAGACCCCGTCGTCCTTAGCTGTTTAAACTATGGACAAATTATTAAAAAAAACTCTGTCGAAATAGTGTTTAGTCAAAACATCTGTTTCTAATTATATACTAAAACCATTAAAGGTAGTGATATTATTACATACAACCTGCCGCGTGCCTTGTCACTTTGATCTAGACTCGGTTAATGAGAATTAGTGAGTTTTAATTAATATCAGAAGTGGGTCACTTTGCTATCCCATTTTGATACGGACCTGAATTAATTAAATCCAGTTGCTTTTTGTTGACTGTACTTGGCATATTTAATTGGGTTTGAGAATTGTGATAAGCAATAATGGATCTTATAACATGGGTGTTTTTAATTTTTATGTTAATATTGGAGGTATGACTCGAGTAACGGATAAAAAAACCGTCATAACAAAAAGAAACCATTTTTAGATAACTGATCTTATTATTTATTACCTTAACTAAATTGGGGTACATAAATAAAAAAAAATTATGGAGAATTATTTGGAGACATTAAAAACGTAAATATTTTAATTAACTAATAATAATTAATCGTTATAATTCATAGTTTAAATAAGATATTTTATAAGATCTTATAGTTCTGTTTATTTTTTAAGTTCAGTGTAGAATTTGATTCCCACCTATAATAACATTGAAATTTGTATAATAAATAAATAAGAATAGGGGGGGGTTTTGGGGGGGGGGAAAAACCCACCTAAGGTGTGAAGCGAAGCCAACTACGGGCCGAGGTTTCGGCTACTGCTAAAGATGGAGAGTGACTCTGACGTCTAAGTAAAAACAGCTACGCCATCTGTTCCGTCGAAGTTGGTATTTAGCAAAACTGCCCGGCAGAAATAACTTAAAGTTTAACTAATATATATCACGTTTTAAATCGTTAAAGTGTTTTATGTAAAAGAATATTTATTTTAAATGCAAAAGTGTGTTTGACCTCCCTTCACGTCGTAACAAACAAAAAATCTAGGAAATTATAATTTTAGCATTATTGAATTAGGTAAAAGGACAGACACAATCGAAGTTCGTCACAACCCCATCAATACATTGGAAGTTTAAAGACTTCTGTTGCTACTCAAACGCTCAATCGACGCGGAGTTCATTTCAATAGTAACGATCGCAATTGACCCTATCTGCAGCCGCGTATCGCTGTGTGACGCACAAACAGCCGTTACGTCACGTAACTACGATCATGTATTGAGATGTCAGACAAATCTCTGGAAAATAGGTTATATACGAGCTCAATGTTTCATATAGTATTTTGATAACTGATAGACAATGGCGTTTACTTACATCATAGCCATATATCATCTAAACAAGATGCACTGCCGGCCTATTTCGGCTTTTATCACGGCTTTTTCATCTTTAAACGGTTGGCGGCACCCGGACGGAATTTCGATACACAAAAAATATAAATTGATTGGCAACATGTTGGAACTAGTGGGGATCGCATTACCTGTTGATTATTAGCCATTCATTGTTAGACCATTAGACCAATGGGCCCGTGAATATTATGAAATATATTTTATGACATACCAAAGAAAATATTTACTGTTACTTACGGCTTAAGGGGATTTGAAGGTAAATACTCCAGTAAATAGTGTTAACTTGTTTTCTGATACTTTCTGGCCATAAAAATGCAATGTTTATTTATATATCTTAAGGTAGAAAACGTTAGGAGGCGTTACAATTTCCAACTATCATATTGACTGCGACTACAGGTAATGTATAATTATAGGAAACGTGACAGAATGTGTTCAAACGGGTTCCATGTAGAAGGGACGTTTGCCGCTTGCATAATGCCCCTTTGGGATTCATGAAAGGAATGCTTGGTGACGTCACAAGACTAGGTGAATTTTATTCTACAACACATTACTACAGTAAATAAAAAATATGTAGGTACTACTGTATTTTTGTAGGTACACTGTTGTTGATTAATCAATCAATTTTATTTCATGAAATTAGTGTTTAATAATAGGACGTGCATAATTATGTAATATTTAAACTAGTCAACAATAAATATTAACTTTGAAGTAAAACACTTATGACGGTTTAAAACGCGAAATATATTACTTATTAGAGTTTATTCAAACTACGGCCCGACGTCTTGGGTGCTTTTGGGACATCGTGGTCACGGCCAATAAATATTTTAATCTGTTAAAGTGTCCATGGCACTTAAACAATTTAATACATATTACGGTGGATAGAAAAGTGTTACTTTTATTATTATTATAAGTACTTACTATTTCCTGTAGTTGTGTAAACAACTTTATCATCCCTCAGAGGGCCCGACACATAAAGACTACAAGTAATCATTCATCTAGTTTCTATAGACATGTAATTTCCAGGAGTCTATGAAGACGTTCCACCTGCTGCTGAACGAGACTTCTCGCCGGCTGCAAGCTTTGACGAAAAGATTGGGTACTTGCGTGGACAAGTCCAGGCCATACTATGATGCCGTAGCAGCCGCTGCCACCGCCCGTTCTGACTGCCAGCGTGCTGCTGTTCAGTTTCAACGTGCTAGTGGTAAGAGATACTTTTGAATACAAAACGTTTATTCAATAGTCTAACCAGTTATGCTTCTTGGTATGGTGGTTACTATCCGCTATACTAATATATAAAGTTGAAGAGTTTGTTTGTTTGTATGTTTGAACGCGCTAATCTAAGAAACTACTAGTTCTTATTGAATAATTATATTTGAGCGAATATAAAAACATCGCGCTGCCACTGATAGGCGAAAAACAGTGTGAAATGTGAAGGAATCGGGGAAATTAATCTTGTGGGTTTCCGTTACGTACGCTGCGACAACGGTGCAAGATACCTAAAAAATCGCTACGAAAGAAAGAATACCCTTCAAATTATCTAAAAAACGCCCGCGACACTGTTAGTCTATCTTTTAAAATTAACTTGCAAGAACGACGTAACGCGACCGACGTCGTGAGCAACAGCTTCAATCTATGAAGATGATATAACTATTCTACGCGAACGAAGTCGCTGACACAGCTAGTGCTTTAGCCCTGTATATTTATGTAAATGTTATAAAACACAAATAACCTTGACCACTTATCCTTCGCCAGTCAAGTGCGCGGCCCCCACGGGAAACAGTCAATTTGCAGATTAGATAACGCACACATTATTTACATTTTGATTTCACCTCATAATATACACGCTTGTTCCATTACTGTGCTATCGTGTGATATTTTGTAACATTGTAGCGGTCGAGACGGATTTTTGATTACCCATTTTAGGCCACTGACGGACTTGAAACGAGTCAAATACGTTATCTGCGAATTAATAAAATATAAAAGTGATATCGCGTTTTTCAATGGGGGGGGGGGGATATTTATAGCCTTAAGCTCTTGATAAATCTAACAAAAAACAACAATAATTTTTCAATTCTAACCAGCCGTTTCTTAGATTAGCGCGTTCAAACAAACAGACTCTTCTTTCTTTATAGTAGAGATAAAAAGCGCGTTAAAACGAAATACATAAGCTATATATCAGTGACATAAAATCATTCGAAGCTAACATGTTTCGCGTTTTAAACCGTTAAGTGTGTTTAAATGTGTACTCGCAACTACGGTTAATAATTGTTCAATATTTTTGAAACAACAACTGCATTTAATCTAAATGTAAGGCAGTTAACCTGTCGTACTTATCATTAAAAAAACACCTGTTTGTTTTGTCCTTCTCATACAAATGTCATCGGGCGTATGAGCGATAGTGACAAAACATTGTTGCCTTGGACTTATTGGTATACTTGCTACAGATATGCAAGGTTCATCAACAGGAAGCTATCATAGCCTTACTAGTAACAATATTGTACAGCTGTACATACCTTATAGTGAATGTAATCGCAGATAAACGTGTCAATTCAATCTTCAATCAAATGTCAATCTTAGCTATTATAAATGCATTGTTTGCCCTTCAAAGATGTCCTTTTACTAATATTTATAACTAGCTGACCTGTCAAAGGTTGTCTGCCATATGTACCACAAAAACGGTATGTGTAATCCCGTTTCCCTCTCGTGGGGCATGTGGCGAACACATTTCTGTGTCCGTTTCAGTAATCCGTTCTTTAACAGGCAAGTAGTTGATCAGACTCATGTGTCCTGCCCGACCGAAACATTCTTTTTGTTTTCCTGGGATTCGAACCAGGACCTATCGCGCTTAACGCAATGGTAGGTAGGTTTAACCATGTAGCTACAGAGGCGGCCTACAACAACGGTACTCGTTAGTTAATCTTAAAAGATATATTGTCGCGCCATTTTTAACATTATGTAAAGAAAAACAATGATTTCATACATAGTTTTAGTAGCGCACTTAACGGAAAATCTTAGAAATGAATAATTTTCCCCGTTTGTTCCACATTTCCCACTACTTCTTCGCTCCTATTGATCGCAGCGTATTATATATAGCCTAAAGCCATCCTCGATAAATGCAACCTAACACAAAAATATTATTTTAACTCCGGTTCGACGTTTCGGATGCTTTGCAGCAGCCGTGGTCACGGGGAGACTCAGTGGCCACAAAACATTTCGCGTTTTAATCCGTTAAAGTGTTTTATGCAAATGTGTACTACTCGCAAATACTATGCATAAAAATCGAATTAATCTGTAATACACATAGAACATTTTATCCGTCCCAGGCCCTATTACTGGAAATGCTATTTCACACTTTTAACAACAAAACCAAACAAAATTATCTAGGTCGCTATAACAATTGTTATTGAAGCCAGAACAATCCAATCCTTTCTGGCAAATAATAACTACTAACAACAGGTAGGTAACGTTAATTAAGATAAATTAAAACACGCCACGTTATACGATCCGGAGTCTGCGCTCTGAATTAACTTCAATTTGCATCTCACCTTTGAAACTTACGTAAGCAGTGTTATATGCTAGTCCACATACTTTTCCGTATACAGACAAGCTATTAAAGTGATAAATATTGATAGAAACGGTCGGTTAGATTCCCATCAGTTGCAACATTTATCGAATGCTTCATACAATTTAAAAACATGCTGGAAATATTCTCCATTAAATATATAGAAGAAATATTTTCGTTACGAACCACAGAACGGTAGATGCCATGGTAAATGGTGATGCGTGTGATCTGTGGATTTCGGATGTCCATAACGAAAAGTCAACCGTGCATCTAATGTTGCTGTTTTAGGGCTTGGTGTTACATTTTATTATAGAAGATAATTGATGTAGACGACGATAGATAAGCATGAGATCTATTGGATAAAACTTATGGCCCAGCCATAGTCTAAGATGCACTGTCGGGCTATTTTGTCTTTAATAATTCGGTAATATGAATAAATAAAAGCATTTCATTTTTTAGGTTAGTTTTCTTTATTGAGTTCAACTCGATAACTTGTAACTTGTTTGAAATAAATCTTAAATTAAATTCTATTTAGATTCAAAAAAATCGATGTCTCTGGCGGGACTTGAATCGTAGAAGATATAAATTAGTTTTATCGTGACTCCTTACTAATAGTGGAATAAACAATCGTATCGTGAGATAATACAATTGACAATGTTTCTACCATTGAGTGAAACTTATTTTCCCATTCCAGTTTAAAAAAAGTTGTTTGTTTAGACTTTAAATGACACGATAGAATTACACATTCACTGTACAATTTTGGTTTAAATCGTTATTTAATCTTCATGGTTTTATTTAATTTATTTATCAGTCGCGCGTTGGTAATTGAACAAAATATTTACAGCACCGTTTATAATATGGTACAGTACCGCATATATTGTTAGATAAATTGTATTAGGTAATTTAATATAAAAGTTCAGTTAATGTATATTATAATGTTTGGTATTGAGTAAACATATTTCAAAAAACTTATTTAGATAGAAAAAAATTAACAACACGGCGGGACTTGAACCGGCATCTACACCTCCGTGTAAATTAGTTACAGCAACATCCCAGATCGCTGTGGATAGCATTCAAGTCCCGCCTATTGTTGTATTTTTTTTCAGTCTGAATAGGTTTTTAGAAGTATATAATGCCACCATGATGTGCAACAACATGTAAAAATATTAAAGTTTTTAAAAAGATTTTAATATATCTCGTTTTAATGCTTATTTATTGTGTTTTTTTATTATTATATCCGTAACAACAATATTGCGGTAAACGCCCATAGAGATACATAACTATTTTTAGTTAACATTTGTTTTTAGTGATTATGGCAGACAAACATTTGCAACGATAAGGCACGAACTGTAATTATAACATTGATAGCGCAATAAATACGACTAAACAGCAATAATTTTAATATAATGGACAATTATTTACGAATAAAAATTTCTAGAAGTTTACACGACGTTTAGTAGTTAGTCTATAGTTTACGCGAGTAGTACACATTTAAATAAAACACTTTAACGGTTTAAAACGCGATATATTAGTTAAACTTATTTGAAAATGATTTTTAAGCCGTGGTCACCACGGCTGCTGCAAAGCATCTGAAACGTCGGGCCGAAGCTAAAAATCATTTTTAAATAAGTTTAACTAATATATCGCGTTTAAAACCGTTAAAGTGTATTTAAATATAGAACTTTGTTTTTTTATTATACAAATTATGTACATAATTCGTATTTCATATTATTAATTTGAAATAACGATAAGATTGCATGCTATTAAGTAGGTAGATTTGTCATTTAATGCTCAACTAAACTGTATTAAGAATATACGAGTAAACTAGAAGTATCATTATATTACAAATATACTAAATACCATATAGGAATTTAAAAATCGAAAATAAATTGAAAAACATTTTCGACAGCGTCCCGTGCTGTTGCTCTACCAATTGAGCTACCGAGTCCTACATCCCATCGTCGAATTTTTTCAACTTATTGACACATGCACCACTCGCGCAATGTAATTTCAAACTTAACACTTACGTATATATATAATCTGTCTGTATCTGTAGATAATCTATCATAGTAATAATTTTTTTTTAAGTGTTGATAAAAAAAACATTCATTTCATTTAAATAAAACACTTTAACGGTTTAAAACGCGATATATTAGTTAAACTTATTTGAAAATGACGTTAAAGTGTTTTATTTAAATGTTACTACTCGCGTAAACTAAGGTATTAACATTCATTTCAGAGTTGCATGCAGCTGCTAAAGAGACAGTGACGTTGGCTGAGCAACGGTTCGTTAGCAAGCAGAATGAATGGCAGTTTGACAATAACTGGCAGGAGGTGCTCAACCATGCGATCATTAAGGTATACAAACCCTTATAGATATGTACATACATTGCTATATTTGAAGATATATTGCTATTTCGGCCGATATTTCTTTAAAGTTTTTACTTATGAACCGATTACATATTTTTAATCTATTCAAATGCTGAATTAGATAAAAATGTAGGAGTTTAAAAGTGCCTTATTGAATATCCATTAAACGAATTTATTGAGGCCAGTTATGAATCTAGGAAGGGCTCGCTTAAAATCGACCAACCGATATAAATTATTCTCGCAGGTTTTTTTTTACAGATGAGGGACTTGTATTAATAAAGTTACTCATAGATTCCTGAATTCTTTCAGGTCATGGACGCCGAGAAGAGAAAAGCAGAGAGTGGTCGGGAACATCAAAAGAAAGCCGCCGCTTACATCGCCGCGGAGAGAAAGGTATTTTCACTATGACTAATCATATAAATATACTAAGATAGCGTTCTTATTTTGTAACGTACTTAAATTCATGGTAATTATTAGTGTAAGTACATGTTCTTGTGAAATAATTGCTTTAAGTTTGAAAACATATTTTTTTTATAGTTTAAAACAGCAGCAGAATAAATTCATAAAGCGTAGGGTCAACAATATCGTGCAATATCAGCTTAATATAAAAAGGAAAAATAAATTATTTTATTATTTATATTACTTATTTAAATATAACATTTTTAAACGCAAATGCTTTTATACCATAGGTGACCCAGCTGGAGGAGAACTTAAAACGGAACATAATAAAATCTCGTATATACTTTGACGAGAAGAAACTCTGCGACGAACAATTGCAGATGCAAAACGAAAAGATTGAGAAGTTGCAGCGTCAGATCGCTGATGCCAAGTTCCGTTACTCCAAATCCCTGAAGGCTCTAGAAGAGATCTCAGAGGAAATACACAGACGGAGGGGGGAATATCCCCCTTGCAAGGATTCTATACCAGTTGGCCCCAGGGAACCAGGTGTCGGAGCAGAGAAAGACCCAGTGCACGATGAAACGCTGCAGGAAATGGATAAAGACGAAGACACCAGTTTGCAAGAACTCAGATTGCGTGTGAGAGAGCTAGCACTCAAGCCAATAGACAGAGATATCGAAACTGACGAGGCGTGGGCGCAGGAACTCAATGAAACCATCAACAAACTCGACCAACTCCTCATGATGAAGGAGAGCAACCAGCAAAAGAGGTCCAAGTTCACGGCCAATTATCCAAATTCCAGTGCCCCATCCACCAGTATGAACGCACCGAAGACTAATCTAACCAGAATGAAGTCTAGAAGCCGGGAGACGGTTTCCGACCACCCTGCGCCGTTAAACAGTGAGAAGTCAAAGAGTATGATGTCGCTGGACGTTCTGGCGTTGGCGAGGGACGCGTCTATAATGGACAGGGAATCGTACCTCAAAGCGGTGATAGAAGATAAGTCTCCTACGGGAACTTATACTGAGAGCAATTCGGACAGAAACGAGAGCCCTGATGAAATATTGATGGTGGAGTGTGACTCCAGTGATTCGACTCAGAACCCGGTGATCAGGATGACCAGTTCCACGGTCACTGACAGCGATAACAGTTAGGCTTCGAATTTTAAATTTTTCGCACGCCTTTTCGATGTTTAGCCGTTAGTGTAGGTGTTGCAAACTTTTGACACGTCGCCGAAAAGTGGAGATGCTCAGGTCAATACTGACACTAAACTGACCTTTTTATGACAGAAAAGAATGTGGTTCTCTTGATGGAAGGTAACACCCCCAGCCATGTAACATCTCACAAGTACTGTCGACCTTTTTGATCCATAAAATATTTACTAAACTTTTGAAAACTAATATTATTATTTAATTTTTGCACATGATGGCACTATATAAATTTGAAAATTAAAATGCCGGCGCAAGCCCTGTCCGAGTCGTAATCTTTTTCGATTCATAATCGATCTTAAATTTATGAAACGATTTTGTAATCTAATTGTAATTTTAACTCGTTCGCACATTTGTGGCCTGAATTTTGTGACTATTGATACTTATATTAATTAACTATAGAGAGCACTCTTTAAAATAAATTCGTAATTATACTATTTGTGACACTCTGGTTATCAGAGCCGTAGTCATGATCATTGATAAAACTCTTTATCAATGCAAAATGGTTGTTATAACTCATTAAAATAATAATTATTGCCATTTTAGAGATAAAATCTCGTAGTTTATCTACTTTAATAATACAGTGAAAACTGATTTTAAAGAAGTTCATGACGTCATAATATTTTTATTGTATAAATATGCCACTCTAAGATTGTTGATTTACAGTTGAGGCTGCTAGAGACAAAGTGGCCTAATAACAAAAAACCTGATGATGAAAATTCGCAATTAACTTAGGCGAAAATGAATTTACTATTATTTGTGTCAGAATTATGTTAATAATTTTCGGTGACTTTTGTAGACCTTAAAAAATATAAATAAGTCAAGTCATAAAATCGCAGTTAGGCTACTCTGCCTCTAGCGGCCTCAATTTGTGGCTTGATTGCGGTAAATCATAATCTGCCTAAAATACTTTTTAACACAATCTTACAGTGACATTGTGGATCGACTGTGGACTACGGTAGCAGGGTAATTTTGGTATTTAAACAAGAACTCATATTTTTTATATGTTTCATAACTAATATTTATATCAGTTACCTTGACTGTATTTTGGTACCTTATTTGAACATATCGTTGATTAAATATTAAATTCATAACCAAAACTAATGCAATGAAGAGTTTTAAATAGATTTCTTGATTTACCCATTAATGTCTGCATACATACTTCTTTATTGGTGTTTGCAGCGATATATAGACCTGTTACTAAAGCGCCGAACTTGACAGCATGTTTTTTAAATACTGTATAGTTTACGCGAGTAGTACACATTTAAATAAAACACTTTAACGGTTTACAACGCGATATATTAGTTAAACTTATTTGAAATGGTCACGCCGTGCCGCAGGCCACTGCAAAGCATCTGAAACGTCGGGCTGAAGTTAAAAATTCATTCAATTTTAAATAAGTTCAATTATAATTAATATATCGCGTTTTAAACCGTGTAAAGTTTTTTATTTAAGCCCGTTTTTTGTCAAACATTTTTATGCATGAAAACAATAATGCTACCAGCATACGTTTTCAGGCACTCAAAATTGTCACTCAAAATATTTACATCTTATCTTTTAAGTTCTAGAGCTTTATATTAACTTTAAACATTACTGCCAAGTGAATACTGAGTACATCGCATAATTTCGCATTTACACAACCTAGACATCTCATGAAATGTTCTAGGTTAACAAAATGGCGGGTACTTACGTCTTGAATAGGATAATTTTTAATCGAATATTAAGATACAGATTATAATCAGCACAGACGTTTTAAACCGTAGTTGTTAATCATAGACTATAAAATCTCTCTTTTATAAGTAAGATGGCAGCTTGTATGGGATGTTTTTATTATAACTACGTTCCTCATAATAAGACTACACTGTGAGTATTTCTTGACCTTTATTGGTAATAAATTCTATGGACACTGCTGTGTTGTTTTATTTCGACGACGTTTATTTTATCTTATTGTTATGTTTGAAAACATTTTTTTTAATTAATTAAAAGTCGTTTATAAATTGAAAAAAAAATACGACACGTACGTACGTACGGACTCGAACCGGCATCCACAGCGTTCCGTGCTGTTGCTGTAACCAATTGAGCTACCGTTAACTATACCTATACTTCATCGTCCAAATTTTCAACCTATTAATACATGCACCTCTCGCGCAATGTAATTTCAACCGTAACACTATGCTTTCACGGAACGATTCAATGCCTGTCCGTGTCTTAATTTTTTTTTAATTTATTGTTATTTGTCATAAATAATATAAAGATATTTACAACGATATTATATTTGGAAACTACTAAACGGTATATTGCAAGTAACAAACTAACTCAACAATTAACAATATAATAAGGAACATCAACATATTTAAAGATCGGCTTAAGATCACTATGGTATGAGGCCGCTCTAGCGCAGCCTCTGGCAGAGTAGCCTAACTGCAATTTTATGACTTCACTTATTTATATTTTTATAGTTTAAAAATGTTAACCCACAATAGTATAGTGACCGAAAATGTCTTACATAATTCTTAGATAAATAACAGTACAAATTAACTATCGTCTCAGTTCATAGCTCATTGTGATTAGGTCACTCTGTCTCTAGCAGCCTCATATATATCTCATCACTAAGAGACTCTTGTCATTTAGATGAAAATAAATAATTCCCATTAAACTAGAACCAAAGATATGTAATTCATTGAAAAAAGAAACTAATTATAAAATATATATTTATTTATTTATTCCACATGTCACATCTGTTTAATAACCACTTAGTTCTAATGAACAATAAAAATCAATGGATTACATTAAACAATAATTTATGAGAAAGGCACTTTTGTTAGTGAACTCATAATTTAAGAAAAAAATACAAAAATAAAATATTCATAAATACTGGGCAGTATTAAAAATAAATAAAATAGATTGTACAAATTCGGCAATAATGACATTCAAACTATTGTATGTTGTAATGATAGAAATCTCTATTTAAATATTGTTTTATTAAGGCTTTTGTTAAACTTAATTTAATATTTAATTGCACACTTAACATTTCAACAATTAATAAGTTTACCAAAAGCCAAAACAATAAGTTTGTATATGCTCTTACCCTGTACAATATTTCGTAGAAAATATTTCACAATTATAACAATTAATATGAAATATTAAATCTTACACATTACCAAAATGGACATCATATACATATGTTGTAATATATAGTTTGTAGCTTAACAGTGACGGTCTTACAAAGTTAAAAAAATGCAACTGTAGAAAAATGCTGTAATGATCACAATAACATTCCGTTTTACGAAAAGTAAATAATCTATGTAGTTGTAATTATTGATTATAAATATGATAAAAAATAAAACACATTAAAAAATATGAATCAATTAAATAATTATTCGAGAAAGATCTGTTATGATTAGATTAAAATCACGATAGCGCTATGAATAAAAAAATAAATCCATTTTCAGTTAAGACAAATTAAAAATTTTACACTAATGAGGTGTTATTAAATCACTGATCGTGTAAGGCCCGATTTCGACGCGGCGTAATGGCATAATTTAACGACTGAATGCTTATATTGACTACATATAAAAATCTCTTGATAAGATGTCCAATGTCGGTGAAATCCGGCCTTTAACGTAACGCTCTATGTCTAATATAAAAATATAAGGGCTCATACACACCGGGCGGTTTACCGCAATCAACGTGTGAAAGGTGACGTACTAATGTGTTAGCCAGACGGTAAAGTGGTTAGTGTGTATTGTGCCCTAACAGCTTCTTTTTGAGTTTGGGCTTGCAAATAAAAAATATAAGTTTATAAGCAGACTATTCCCGTTTACGTGTACATCTCTTTGAATAAAATTTTTATTTGACACTCTAACCTTCCCATGAAGGTTGACTCGCTGTCCTGCCTTATAGAAAGCGGATATGGAGTATTTCAGTCACACTTTTTTCTTTCAGGACAAAGTATCATATTCCAATGTATTTAGGTACATTATTGCGCTTTCGAAAATGTGACATTTTATTACCGAGATTTAAGTAGGAATTTGCGACATTATTTGCATCATATAAAATCGTGTGAATATAAACAATTACCTATAACAGACAAATAAAACACTTAAAATTAGGCAATAACTTGTCTAAAACTGTCAAAATGGCAGCTACAAATTTGGTTTGTTTGCCACGCGAATGGAATAATCTATCACTGGCCGAGGATGCAAGATGTACTTAATATCTCCATCTCTTTCTCTCGTATTGGCAGAGAGGGAGATAGCTATGCAACATTCCAAGAACATCGCTAGGTATATAAATCTAGAGGCTTTGGGAAAACTAAATTATTAATTGCTAATATTCATCAAGAAGGATAATTACTAAACAACACATTTTAAAGTTATTGTTTGTTCTATAATTACTTGACATTATAAGTAGTTATACTCATTTCCCTCATGGGGCCTTAGCATATTTCTGTGTCCGTTTCATTGGTGGGTTTCACTTCTGTGCCGTACCAAACCGAAATAGTTTATTCTTTCTCCGGGATTGGAACCCCGAGCTTACAATTGTAATGCTAGGCAACACTTTAAGCTGGAGAAAGGCATCTGACTACATACGCTTTGAAATTATATTTAGTAGTTAAAATACATATCTGACTATGCAATCTACCATAAAAATCAGTAGTTGTGAAGATATAAATATAAAGATAGTCAAAATAGATATTAAACATTCTCTATATCTTTTGCGCCAAGTTATTTAGTATTAGGAAACAGAACAACACTCAAACACATAGGCTTATAAAAGTACTGGTACCAGCCTAGTACATGTTTATCTTACAATAATTTAGTTTTCCTAATGTGTCCTTTTATAACTTGGATTGGACGACGTCACGCCACCAAGACGCTCTCTCGAAAGCCCCGGGGTGGCTGAAGAATGCCTTTTGTAGGTGCTGGTATAGCTGTAAGGAAAGAGAATAATTTTTATACACTTCACAGTATTAAAAATATGTTGTAACACAAAATAATAAACATTTTGACATCATGTTTTTAAAATTGGAAATTATTTTAACATAGGTACAAATTTCAAGAAAATGAAATTCTCTACATCTAACGTTATTGTTTTGTACACACACATAAAAAAATCTTGTAAGGTAAGACCAGTAGTGTAAGTTAATATGTATTCCTTACTTACCCTTCTTAAATATGCGTAATCAATATATAGTAAAAATAACTTACATTTCCATCGCTCTTCCCCAAAACTGAATTGAGTACGAAGTCCGTCGGCGCAAGCGCATCCACCACACTCACCACCTCCCCCTTTACCTCTCCACACAATTCCAAGATGGCCGCCCTTATCAACCTCGCTAACTCCTCCCCTCTCGAGAAACCTCCTTGATACATCTCCACTAGATGTTTATCTAACGACCATAGGCCGTACAGACACAAGAGTTTGTTAAGAACCGGTAAGAGTTGCGGTTCCGTCTTCTCAATGGTTTCTAAGCAGAAAATCAAAGCGAGGTATTCGGCATAGACCTTCGTTAAGGTCCTCCAGCGGTAGACCTGGCTTCTGCTCCGGGCTTGTACCTTAGTTAGTCCTTTAGCCAATTCCGCTTCGTTTTTTTCGTGCGTGTGCTTTAGAAGCCAGCATAAGAGCCATTTGTACGTGGATAAAATGACTGAAAAGAGAACATATAATTTTAAATCAGCTTGTAATTAATATAGAGTATATTTTATGCATTTAAATAAGGTGCAAATTTTTTAGTTTACGAAACTAGTACACATTTTCCTACGTTTCGGGTGCTTTTCAACAGCCGTGATATTGGGGAGACACTAATGGGAGAAGGTGGAGGGTATACATAGCAGAAATGAGTTACGGCAACCTCTCATTTAAGGGTATATAAATAAATTTATTTAGCTTTTTTAAGGTCCTTAATTTTTTTTCTTTTACATTAAACCTCGTCGTGTAAGACACGGTATCTCAATTGGTTGCTGTGGTCCATGTCCCGTCCTTATAGTATTTATTTTCAATCTAAATAGATTCATAACTATGGGAGACCGATTTTTACTCACATTTAGAATTCTTCAGCTCAGCCGTAGTAGTACAGTTGAAAGTGCTACTCAGTATCGCCCGGAAGTCCTTCAAGAATGTAACAGTGCCCAGGGGCGAATCCACGCTGTGACCGTTCATCACCGCTTCGTACTGCTTCAGGAGCCAATTGCCAGCCTGCTGGGATAGTACGTTGTTATCACCTTCGTAAGTCACCGTTGGCTCGTGATTGCTTCGAATGTCGCCCAAGTTTGCCACCTGAAAAAAAAACACGTCAAAACGAATTTTAGAAAGAAACAAATTATATAATTTTAAGGGTGTCTGGAAAAAGAGACAATGCCATATGTTCACAAACATTTTTATTTGTATATATTATTTTAAGTGCCTATGTTCTCTACATCGGTGTGATTATGTCTGTGCAATAAAGGGATTTATTATTTTTAAACATTTTGTTTAATTGATCCCATTTATTTTCCCCGTTAAGGCGTCGGTCTCAATTATCACCAGCCCATGTCGTTGTCTGTCTAGGCCCACTAAATTAGTGTCTATTATTAGGGCGATATCTATATTTTAGGGAAGATTTTTCTTTAAATAATGCTATCATATTTATGTAAAAAAAAAATTGTTTTAAAGATTTTACTTCTTTTTCTATACCTTAACTTTAACTTTTAAATCTGATCATTTCAATATTCGTCTATTTTTATTGGTAATAAAAAGACGTAGCTAGAAAAGTACCTTTAAATAGCCATGTCCTCCACATGCCTCGCGACACTGCTGTGCCGCTTCCAGCACTGTCCACGTGAGTAGAGGTTTACTACACGACACCATCGCGTGGATCTCCGACACAGCTTCACTCTGCAACACGATATATGTATAAAATTATGATAAAATTAAGAAAAAAATTTTATATTTATATTTTCTATATGAATAGGGGGACATACAAGCATATAGTTCACTTGATAAGTGAAATAGTCGTGTGTCTCTGCTCTCGACCTATTTTGACTTTAGACATTCGGAAACAGGCTAAAACCGAAATGCGATTAATTTTCACGGCTTTTCATCTGTGGACGTGACATTTCGATATTCCTACCACCCATTTAATATAACGGTCTGAGATATCCAAAGATGTTAACCTTATTAACGTTATATTGTAACTGAATACAGACAGCAGATATTTTACAGAAAGCATCTACTATCTCCGTTAGCGTCATTTGAATGAAAGGGACAGAGTACATTTTGAAACGAACGCTTTTCGAATCTCATTTCCGTAAATTAAGAGCACGTGTTAACGCGGAAAAGAATTATATACTTGTAATATTTAACAGCTCAACCATAAATAACATACAGATAGACCGCAAGGCGACAAGTGTCTGTAAAACCCTAATAAAGTATAATCTAATCATTAATTATAAATTACAATGCGGCTACACTAATCTCGAATTTTATTATATAGTCGTGTCAGTGACTTCGTTCGCGTAGAATAGCTATTTTGGTCATCAAAACGAATTTATGCAAGCCTTCTATCTTTATGGATTTAAGCTGTTGCCCACGACGTCGGTCACGTCCCGTCGTTCTTGCAAAATACTAAAAGATAGATATATACAATGCCGCGGACAGTTTTTGAAAGAGGAACAATTCTTTCATACATATTATTTGGGTTTCTTGAACCGTTTTCGCAGCGCACGCAACGGAAAACCAAAAAGAATTATAATTTTTCCCGTTTTCCGCTTTCCCTAGACGCAGCGCGATGTTAAATAGCCTTATATTATAATTCCTCGGTAGATGAATGTGTTGTCGAAAACACATGGCATAGAGCTTTTCGTTTTAAAAGAGAATAGGTAGAGATAATACTCTATTACCATAGCCGGTACCATGTACCACCATACGGTGTCTGTCATAAATTCGAGTCTTATTTGTGACATCTTTAAAATACAATTTCAACCACCACCAAGTCTGAGTATGCTTACCAAGTTATCAACACCGTGACCGCTGTTAGATTTCTCGACAATCTTAAGATAGACCTCAGCAAAGTTTTGCAAGTAGAACCGGAACACGACCGCGGCCGCCACGTAGCCAAAGAGACGCCATTGCTGAAATAATGAATAATTACTTATAATGAACGGAACAAAATATTTCACCCATTTACGTCATGTTGAATTCAAATTCTAAACAGTAAAACCACTTTTTAGATGACGTCACCCGTGACCACGACTGCTCTATAAAATAATTTTAAATTACCTTTTCTTTAATTGTATAATTAGTTTTAGTTCGTATGACAGACGAGTGAAATCCGTCTAAGATTTATTTATCATTTAGTATAACACAGGAATAACAAATAATGAAATATCTACGGGCGCGTTGGTGGTAACAATATATGAATAATCAACTGATCGTCCACCGGGTCCCACATTTCTCATATCTTTTTTGAAACATGTTGCACTTCTTTTGAACATGGATATTAAATCGGTATCTCGCCTATCGCCTAAGTTTGGATAACTGTATTTTTTTCTTGGTTCGGGTAAATTTAGAAGTGATAAAAAGTAAAATCGCAGGTACCATGTGGTTTCTGCCATTTGATTGTTTTTCTAAGAGTTTAAGTTCTTTTGACACTAGGTTTTTTTTACAAAATGTAATTTCAGAATATTTAGGTTGCTATACATTTCTTATTTCACATGCTAAAAATTATACAAAGGGTATTACTACTGCATTAAGTTTCCCCAGAATTTGAATCTTTTGCGTTACACGATATTAGCGTCTAACAATTAAGTCACCCAAGCGGTTCTGACCGGACGCAATTAATAACAAATAGATACTATAATTAAATCTATACTAATATATAAAGCTGAAGAATTTGTTTGTTTGTTTGCTTAAACGCACTCAAGTCAAGAGCTACTGGTTCTAATTGGAAAATTATCTTTGCGTTGGTTAGAGCATTTATCGCAGAAGGCTATAAAACATTGTGACAATTAGCAGCAAAGAAACAGCGGGGAAGTTTAAAAAGAAGGGGGAATATTATTCAGCCCTCTGGGTTTCCAAAGCGTACGCCGCAAAAGCTGTTCAAGACACCAAAAAAAAATGCACGAAAGAATGATTCCTCTTTAAATGATCAAAAAGAATGTCCGCGACGTTATATGTCTATCTTTTAAAATTTTCGTCGAAGAAGACGTGTTACGAGAGACCGGACTCGATCAATGTCGCGGTTAACAGCTTTAATCTATAAAGATGAATAGAAGGTTTGCAAAACAAATTTCGATGCCCAAAATATCCATTCCCCGCGGACGAAGTCGGTGATACAGCTAGTTAAATATACTCAGATAGTTAAGTGAATGAAATAATCAATTTGAATAAATAAAACATGGTGTGAATTTTTAATTGGGTTTCATTGCCGCAATAGGCAATAAAACTTAATTTGTAATCCGATAATGGTACGAAGTACTCCATTAAATAACTATTCGTTAAATTATTATCCCAATATATTGCACACGATGGAGTCACAATCTATTTCAGATCTTTGTAAAAAGCATTTCCATCATCTTCTCATGAACTAAATACTGACTATAGTTTACGCGAGTAGTACACATTTAAATAAAACACTTTAACGGTTTAAAACGCGATGTATTTTAGTTAAACTTATTAGAAAATGATTTTTAACTACGGCCCGACGTTTCGGATGCTTTGCAGCAGCCGTGGTCACGGGGAGACATGAACTGTCAAATTTATCATCCTATATTGACAGATGTATACTCACATGCAGTTCGTATTCGATAAGTGTCGTCTCGTTGTTTCGCTCCCCGAATTGTTTGCGAGTAGCCGCGTAACGTATGGCAATGGCTACCACGCTGGAGATCGAATGACAACTCTCTTGCATTATTCCGATTCGACCTGAAATACAAAATATTAGACGTTAAATTGATGGCCTTAATTGCAATTTGAACGAATGCAAAGCATTTATACCTCGTTCGTAAGCAGAATTTTCAAAAAATGCATCCTAGATGTTTAAGATCTACATGACGTTTATAGAGAGGGGAGAAAGGGGATATAGAGAGATATCACATGTATTTATTTTTAAGAGAATGTGAACTCCTTAGATGAGATGTTTAAAAGGCCATCCACATAATCACATGTCGTTTGAAGGGTGGGAGGAGAGAGGGGATGTAGTAAGATGGCACATGTATTTCCTTTTCGAAAAATGGGCTTTTCTGAGTAAGATGAGAGGGGAGGGTAGGAAGGGATTATAAGTGATCACGTGATCATTTGACTACCTTATGAACATGTATGTGTGTAGTCAATCAATTCAGAGAATAACTCACCAGCCGATAAGTTCTCCAGTGCCGCACCCAGTATTCTAGAAGGTTCGGAGAAGGAACTCTCGTAGATTCCCTCTTCTGTCACATCAGCCGTCCTATTTAGCAGGTTCACGCGAGGTATTCGATATTTGTTGAACATTACGAATCTGGAAGTTACGAGAAATATTTGTTAGGTGAAAACTAATATAGTGGTGTTGTCCCGTTTTTATTTAAAGATGTTTAACTCTTAAATGTGTGACCTAAATGAAAGATGGTATTTACCATCTTTCATAGTTAGAGTAGACGATATTAAGTATAGCGTTTTGTATACAATAATGTAATAAATGAACTATATATTTTAGAACGATAGATAGTATTTTTATAATAATAACTATGTGTGTCCGTGACTTTATCTGCGTGGAATAATTTAGTTCTCATTAAATTTTTTGGGTATCATTATTGTTGCAAGCTTTATACGTCAATTTCTATTATATCTATGATTTAGTTTTTATAAGAACATATTTTAAAGTAATTCTGCGTAAATTATGTTTCTAGTTTTATCCCTCTCTCAGTCGAACTAATAGTTCCTGTGATCAGATTGTTCAAACAAACAAACTCTTCAGCTTTATAATGTATAGAATATAGATTAAAGCAATTCGTGCAAATTTTTTCTCGAACGTTTATCCTTTTGAAAGTCTCGAAAATAGAGATACTCGAGTACAGAGTACCTCGAAGATTAAAAAAACACAGCCAAGGTTTTCATGCTTTTTCAAGTAGATAGCTTGAAACAAAACCTACTGTATAAAAAAAACTATTTTCCTTTATATTCTTAATATAGAGTAATTATTAATTTCCTGTTTTTTATACATTTTCACCATTGACGATTAATGAAATTTTCATTAATCCGTATCGATTAAATCACACTTCACAAGAAAATCAGCAGAGATCGCCAACCTTTGGTTAGCAAATCATTTCTTACCCATTATCAATTCCGTTGACGCCGATCTTCTCCCCCATATCACCAACAATAAGGCCAGGGTATATCTCGAGTGTCTGAGGATCTCGTATGGGAACCAGAAAGGCGTGGAGACCATGATTCCTACCGTCAGGTGTCACCAATTGTGCGAAAAGTAGTGTGTGCGTGCAGGTTCTGCCTGGAGACAAGCGGAAAGAATTTTCAATTGTTTTAAATGAAGCATATTCGTCCTTTAACAAATTTGGGACATATCTTAGATATAAACATCATTCATTATTAAAACATATAGAGCTTTGAAATTTTAGCTTTCAAGCTATAATTTCGATAACATGCTCGTTTTTATGCTTTTCATTATCAAGGTGAAATTTCAGACCATAAACAACAAACAGGTTTTTTTAATACACGTACGTAACAGAAAAAATATAATTTCCGTACATATTTTAATTTTAGTTTGTTTTGAGTTGGTTGCCAGTAAATTAAAACTTAAGAACCATATTAATATGGAACAATAGTTACAGACACTTTGATGTCCGTTTGTAGCCATAACTTAGGGGCTTTTTTATTTGGTCATGTACCAAATAATACTTATTTAACTTTAATTCAATCACAAACAAGATTCTTATAAGTAATAACGACCGACGTTGGTTAACAATAACAAAGCGTTAATTTATTTTCGAAACAGGATAAAGGATAATCTTATAGGGATACTGGAGTTAATTGTGGTTAATAGTGAATATATTGACACTAATAAAATACAATGTAAATAAAACACTTTAAAGGACAATATCGACGTAGCATAGTATGAGTGTGTATGAGCTGGAGTCTTCCTGGCTAAAATAACAATGGGGGCAATTTTTTGGATTTTTATAAGACGGTTAAAAATTCAAACCGAACTATTTTTACTGCAACTCAACCCGTGGGCAATGGCCACATGCATTATATATACTGTTTAGGACATACTATTTAGGGTCTCAGCACACATATGGGATCGGAAAGGGATCGTAACCGTAACGCCTTTCGTCTCGCTGTCAACCAGGCGTCAACCTTCCGTACGCACGTAACGAAAGCGTATGAATAAAGCAAGGAGGACGCAAGGGCGGGGACGGAGAGACGTAAGCGCGGGGACGATGAGCCGTAAGCGCGGGGACGATGAGCCGTAAACGCGGGAATTGCAAGTTCGGGGCCTGTTCCGAGGCGAGGCGATTACGTTACGATTCCGATTAGTGTGCGTTGCAGTAGGGAGTTTAATACAAACCATTCTGAACGGCTCGAGGCGTTACGGTTACGATCCCTTTCCGATCCCATATGTGTGCTGAGACCTTAACAGATACATTTTTTTTTTGAAACGGTATATAACAGACACGTGCTTCTGTTAAGTACGTGTTTGTTATAGGCTTTTCCATCTATAGATGTTAAAACCGGAGCCGGACGGAGATCTCATTAGAGTTATTTATGGCTTTCGGAAATCCACAGACTGAAACGCGATTATACATCGCAGCTTTTAAATCTGTGGACGGTGTTACGCAGAGGGAATTTTGATATTCCTACCACCCATTTAATACCAGACAAAGCCCAAGTTGTTTCAGAAAAAAAATGTGAATTGATTAGACTCATGTTGGACCCGGTGGGCAACGAACCCACGACCTGTGGCTTACCTGCTACCATAACACCAACGAGCTCCTCGAACGAATTGCAAACAGTTTTGTAAAGATGTTTCGACCTGTATTGCATTTAATAGATGATTGAGTTTTTATCTTGAGAGAAGAAAAGTCCCGCGTTTAAAAACTTCGGTTAGCAACTAAGGAGGTAGCGAAACAAACATTACAATTGAATAGTCGGAATCGGAATTCCGAGGTCGACCGAATCGCGACCGTGCTAACTGATAAAAGATTGCGTAACCCGTCTCATTCTTACCTCTATCGATTAGACTCTAGACGAGTCCAAGCGTTAAGTTCTTTTATCTAATCTGTGTAACTAACCTATTCTTTATGTAGAGGACCTATGTTGGCTTTGTACATTCATAAATCCAGACTGTAACCGAAACGCGATTAAACTTTGCGGATTTTTTTTAATAATAGAAGAGGACAGCCTATAGCGTCTAGACAAGATGAGCTGTCGACTTATTTTAGCTTTGGATAATCGGAATTACACAGATTGATACCGTAACGCGATTAAACTACACAGTTTAAACAGCTTGTTCATCTGTGGTCGCTGGTTGGTCGAGATTTCCAGATGAGGTCCAAAATGTTTAAGAAAAATTATAAATCGATTAGAAAAATGCAGGACCTGGTGGAGATCGAACCCACGATTGTTATTAGCCATACATTGCTACCATTTTACCATCTTTTACATCTGTGAACGATGGTTCTTGAGGAATTTGTTCCTACCACCAGTTTAATATCCCAATTGTTAATTACAGACAAACAATAAAGCGTGGGAAGATTATTTTTTGTTAGTCGCAGTGCTTAGTCGAAAAAATAGGATGTAAAAATTATATTAACTACTTACATAACACTTAAACGTCATTTTATCAGAACTAATGAACAAGTATCTAAAAGAAATACGTAGCACGCTACAGCGTATATAGTCGGCAACTTTCTGTATACGCACCGTGACTACAGCAAACGTACGTCAGGTCACCTATACTAATATATAAAGCTGAAGAGTTTCTTTGTTAGTTTGTATGTTAGAACGCGCTAATCTCAGGAACTACTGGTTAGAATTTAAATATTATTTTTGTTTTGAAAACATTGTATGAGTGAATGATTCTTCTTTAAATGACCAAAAAAAGACCGCGACAGTAGGTCTATCTCATAAGAACTCGCAAGAACGACGGGACGCGACAGTCTTCGTGAGTAACTTAGATTTATAGAATTGAGCAGGTGGTTTTCAAAAACAAAAATTGAGACCCAAAATAACTACCCTACGAGTAGTTACGCACGTACGCATACGAAGTCACTGACTCAGCTAGGAACGAATATATTTCCCGCTTTAAACAGTTATATATTTATTACGTTGCAGTGTGTTTACGTCGTTTATATTGTCTTTTGTATATAGACCGCCTCTGTAGCCAAATAGGAAATACCCCTAGCATTACGTTAAGAGGTCTTGGGTTCGAATTCTGAGGGAACAATAGATTGTTTCGGCAGGGCACAGAAGTCCGATCAACTACTTGAGGGCCGTTCAAGTATTACGTAAGCAGATTTATTACAATATTTACCCCCCCCCCATCCCCCCTTCTCAGCAAAAGTAAGCAAAGCTTTTACCCCCTCCCCCCGTGCTTACGTAAATATTTTTCAATTAAAAATGTGGTGGTTGCCATTCGTGTAAAAAACTAAATAAATATCGATGACGTAATCATCATCTGGACTCCCCTACCCCCCATGTCATCAAAAATAAGCAAAACACAGACCCCCCCCACCCCCCTATAGTGCTTACGTAATACTTGAACGATCCCTTGCCTATAAAAGATCCGATCTGTGAAACGGACACAAAAATGTGTTCCCTACATGATCCACGGGGTGTAACGGGATTTTACTTTATTATTGTGGATATTTCAGAGTGCTGAAAACGCATTTAGTTTTGTTTAAAAAATATTAAATTCGAAACGCAGTACATAGAGATCTATTGATGGATATTGATGTGTCTAAGTTGTGAATAATGCGAGCGCAGATTATACTATACACATCAATTATAAGTCTTTCCTGTCAATTGTTTTTTTTTTTTTGCTTTGATCTACGTTTAGAATAAAATGGAAAACTATATTCTTCTGTTTAAATGGAAGATGATTAATTAAATAATTAACGATAATTGTAATTGAATAACATTGTATTTAAATAACTTAATACCGACGATTCTTAGCGTAAAAAAAGTGAAATCCCGTTTACCCACGTGGGGCATGGGGCGAACACATTTCTGGGTTGCGTTGTCAAGTTGATCACAATTGTTTCCCCGGGTTTCTCTTCTCTTACCACAATGCTGACCAGCTCGTTCAAGCATTTAGCTACAGAGGCGATCGGGTCAGTGGAGAGCGTGGTTCAGATTTTTAAGGGCACACAAAACTAATCGATTCCAAGGCTAAAATCTATTAGGAAGCTCTGCTATCAGAGATCGTAAATAAACAACTTCCTTATAATTAGCAATAACTGCTAATCTTTTATCGTATTCGTTATCTGTCAAATTCAAAGAAAGTGTGTCACGCTCGATTAGGTAACCTTGGTGACGGACTGTATTCGTGGAAATCGGAAAATGGGGAAAAATAGCCACAGTCGGCACAAAGAAAGGAACGTTCGTTGATCTAATCTATACCAATATTACAAAGCTGAAGAGTTTGAAAGCGTCAATATCAGGAACTAAGTACGGGTTCGAATTAAAATTATTTGTGTTGATTGGACCATATGTCATGAATGGCTTCAGGTAATATACCATCACGCTGCGACCAATAGGAGCGTAGAGAGAAAGGGCAGGTATGTGGAAAAAACGGGGATAATTATTCATCTTTGAGGGCTTCCCGCGCGTGCTCTGCAATGACGAATCGAAATAACAAAAAAATATGTATAAATAATTATTCCTGCTTAAAGTAAAAAAAATGTCCACGACAATATATTAACTTGCAAGATGGTCGGGACGCGACCGAGGTTGTTAGAGAGAGTGTGAGAATTATTCTACGCGGGCGAAGTCGCTTGCACAGCCAGTAGCGTATAACACTTTTCTGATGTGTATTAGTAGGATTTATAGAAGGTTGGAACGATCTGAACTGTGATATTTAAATTACAGTAACGCAATATACCAATAGTGTACATATCGTTTAGAACATAAATAAATATTATAAACTGTGCGTTTGAATTTTAATCACAATTAAAATTTTAAAAAAATCGCAAACGTTCAGGACCCATTAATTTCTGATTATTAATAACTTCTCTCGAATAAAGTTTAAAACTAACTTTTACAATTTAAACCGATTTACAACAGAGATTTGAATTCATTAAATTACAATAACGTTACATGTAATAAGTTACGCATTTACTTTCTTTAATGATATAAGCTTGTGGATATTAAAGAAAATATTAAATTATAATTAATAATTATCTATTATTGAATTCATATTGAAATACGTCAGCAACGGCATTTAATAAAAAGCAAGAAAATAATAATAAACAATAAAAAAATCGATGACGACGCGTATACAGTAGCTCAATAATTAGTTAGAGCGACAGCATAGAACGATGTGGATGCCGGTTCAAGTCCTGCCCATGTCCTAATTTAAATACTGTCTATAGTTTACGCTAGTAGTACACATTTCCATAAAACACTTTAACGGTTTAAAACGCGATATATTAGTTAAACTTATTAGAAAATGATTTTTAAGTTCGGCCCGACATTTTCAAATAAGTTTAACTAATATATCGCGTTATAAACCGTTAAAGTGTTTTATTTAAACGTGTCCTAATTTTTTTTCTATTTAAAATCGATTTTCAAATAAGATAATGCCATCATGTGCATGTGAAAAATTGTTGTCAAAAATAAAATGTCACACAAAGTTTTACCTAGATTACCAACCCAGCATTTAGCCGCCTCGAAGTCTGGCGTGTGGATGACGAACTCCCTGGTCTTCGGGTCGTATGTGGCCGTGGTCCTCATCAAGCGCGCGTCCGACCCGTGAGCTATCTCCGTCAATGCGAAGCTTGCCACGATCTGGATGAGAGTATTGTATTAGTTTTTTATGATAGGAGGTCAGATAAGCAACCTACAGCATCTAAACAAGATGCGCTGGCTTTGGATATTCGGAAATCCACAGACTTTAAACCGACAGCTTTTTCTTTTTGGACGCTGGTTCGCGACCCGGACGGAATTTCTATATTCCAACCAGCCACCTAACCAATTAATTATCCAGATTTCCAGAAGAAGTCAAAAGGTTTACCTATATCTACAATTTACGGGAGCGATACCTACAAATCAACGTTCAACTACATTTAATAAAATGTAGTAGTTGTTTTTTTTTTACTATCACAATAGTAATGGTAGTTCAACGCGATGTTTTATGTAAAGCATGAGGTCCTGGGTTCGACTCACGGGGACACAATAAATTGATTCGGTGGGGCGGGGCATACGTAACGTTTATAAATAATAAGTAACCTCCATAGACTCCATAGTTTATAGATTTTATTTTTGGGTTATTTGAAATTGTGTGTGTTGTGTAATAAAGTATGAATAAATAAAATAAATAAATTGGATCAGCAAAACATCCGAAAGACAAGGCAAAAGTGGATCTAAAGAATGATGTTTACCAGTATTGGAGTTAAAATGTTTTGCTAATTAATATAAAAAAAAAAATGTTGTTACAATGTAATTTTTTGTGATTGTTTATCTTCCTTTTCCGCGTGTAGCTTGAAAAACATTCACTTTAATACCTGAATTATTTAATCTTTGTTTTTTTAATTACTTTTTGAATTATTGTTTTAATAAAATACTTATTTGCTTTGTCAATAACGACATGTCGGAGACCGAAAGTAGGTACTATTTGTATTCTCAACTTTTACTTGCATCTTGTAATTTATAATGTTCATGTTTGGTGAATAACCCGGGCAACCCATACATCAAACTTCCTTAAGGGATTTTCATCCTGTACTTTGTTTACTTGCGTTTTCCTCATTTATTTCCCAAGACAACAACTTATTTACGTCTGTAATGACGAACAGAAATCCTAAAGGAAATTCATTTACCTTGTAAATCATACGAGGATATCTCCTGAATTTATTAGCTTTGTTATTTACGCAAATGAAAAATAACACATAGATTTGAAAACTGGGATTTACAATACGTGAAGTTGAAACTTTTAATACGTAAATGCAAGCTGACGAAAACTTACAACATAAAGGGACTAACTGTGTCAGACTTCCTCCGAGTAGAATAATTATTATGGACACCTCGATTGCAAAGAATTCTAACTTCTTCGAGCAATCGAGAAGCTAACTTCTGATGATATCGCCCGGTCGTGATGGCGAAACGTCGGTAAAACCTCTTCTCACTTACGTCGGCTAATCAGCCCGAAGAACATGCTGAATAGAAAAAATTCCGATCCCCTGATTTGTTAGCCCTAAATTGCTGCCATCTTGGTGAAAGTTAATTGAAAACATTAGAGACATCAAACGAAAATAAATCATCTATTGTAAAATACCAATAAAAGAGTTTATTTATATTTTTATTATGAACATGTATTTTTATTTCAATATCTTTCGAAATCTCTCGACGATTATACGTATAGTGAGATAACATTGAAAGTGGTATAACGTCAGTACAATAAAAACTATGCATATTTTCCCTATATCAGATTGACGTTGCTACTAAAGTAAAATAAAAACTACTGAATATTCCCAACTAAATAAATCATTTTAATGTATTATCTTGTACAGCGAAGTATACATAAAAACAGCAACGATTCCCATTATTGCATTATAAATACAAGGTCAAGAGTTCGGATCGCAAAACATACTATTTTTGTTTACTTTGTATAATTCGTGCGCCTGCGCTGCTTCGATGGTCTTAGAATACCGTAAAAGCTTATACGAAAAAAATTCTACCCAATTCCGAAACTTTGTGTCCGCTAAAGAAAAATTATTAGTGAAAGAAATATTAAAAATTAAAATTTGACTGAAAACGAAGGAGAGCCTCCAAAAAGTACTGGAAAACTCACTTTTCACTCACAAAACGGGAAAAATTCTTCATTTTCTAGGGATTCCGTTGCGAAAACGGTTCAAGAAAAAATATGTATTAATAATGAATTATTCTTCTTGAAATGATTTGAAAGAATGTTAACAACAATAGTCAAGAACGAGTGTCTTAAGATTGACTCACAAGAACATTTTTACGCGTATCTATAATTTCGTCAAATTCCTACATATGGCAAGGGAACGTCTGCCAGGTCATTTAATCATTTTCATGAACAAGCCAAACTTTTACTGTACACAGAAGGAACACATACCTTTCTATCCTTTATTGTAGCCTCATAGAATTTCCTATGCCGTTCCGTACCGAGTGACAGCAGGGCATTCGAGAATAGGTAGATCCCTATAGCCATTTTCACAGAGACACTGGGCGCTAAGGATTGCACTGCTTCGTTTATGGTCATCAAGGTTCTCGTCTGAAAGAAATATCTTATTAGTTGCATGACGTCACTAGCCTTTACTCCTTAAACTAGGCAAAAGTCTTCGTGACCCCGGCTGCTGCAAAGCATCCGAAACGTCGCGCCGTAGTTAAAATTATCAATTAAGTTTAACTAAGATATATCGCGTTTTAAACCGTTAAATTCAATTCATTCAAAAGTCATGTCATCAAATCTTTATATACAGCCGAGAAAAACTTGCAACGTAAATATTGGAAGAGCATATACCACTAGACCAGAACTGTTTCGTTTAATTTATAAAAGGGCAAAAAAGCAAGGTTTTATTTCAAACGACCTTAGCGAATTTACGACATTGTTATCTGTTAGCGTAATAATTTTATGACTTGTATGCTTAGTTTTTAGTTTCAATACAAATATAATAAACCGTTTATTCACGTTGCATACTAAGTCAAAGAAATACATACAGTACATGTATGTCGTGGTCACAGTGGAAACAGGGCATGTTAGAATAAATAAAATAGCTCTAATTAACCAGTAAGTGTTTCATTTAATGTGTACACCCGTAAACTGCAACAAGGGTAGTTTTAAAAAGTATGTTTTAATACAGTAGTTGATGTATGCTACTCTATCAAAACATAAGCTAATCTTTCTTATTTAGTTTCCGTAGATAAGTTTCAAAATTGTGTGTAAGTTTTGTTTTGATAGTTTTAAGATTATATTTTAGATGGTAAATTTTAGTTTGCCCACTTTGCACATCTTGTTTTCCCGTAAACTCACTCCTTTTTATCTTGGGTTGCCTGGAAGAGATCGCTCGTTAGCGATAAGACCGCCCATTGCACTCCATATGTTTATTTTGAGTATATAAGTCTCTTTTATATTTTTGATCATTTTTTGTGCAATCGAGTGTAAATAAATAAATTAAAAATCGATTCTAAATTAAAAAAAAATTACAACTCGGGCAGGACTTGAACTGGCCGAGCTGGTGTTCCGTGTTGCTCTAACCAATTGAGATACAGAGTCAATTATATCGATTATATATTTTCTATTATTATTTCAATTTAAAATCGATGTTTAATGAATATAGGCATCATGAGCACAGTCAGTGCATCAGTTTTACAAATTTTATAAGAGAAAAACCATTTCATCAAAACAGCTGCATTAATTGTTGGAATGTTCAAAAGATAACTTGTCATCGTTAATACTAAAGGCAGCGCTTTATTATCATCAGGATATCCACACGTTACACTAACTGCACCCCGTGGTCTTGCTTGCACCATTTTCTAATAATTTTTCTGGACTTTTAAGAACATTATTATGATTCTAATTTTAACTCAAGTATTTGTATTTTACAAAGCTTTTTTGCAAGGCAAAATAAATACAATTTTATAAAAATTTGACGAGCGGGTTAGTCGTGAAAGCGATATACATACTACCTCCTTGGATCAATAGAAAAATGTGTCCTCTACAATTGTAGATAATAAATAGCTTCGGATCAAATGAACTCAGAATTCCCATCAATTAAAGGGACATTTAAATATGTCTATTTCATACATATATGCGGGATTTCACTATCCCCACAAACACACATGCACAAAACAATTATAACATATATATATATATATATATATATATATATATTGAATTTTAATGTAAATTAAATCTCATAACTTACTCGTTTTCTGTAACCAGCATTAAAGATCTCGTTGCTTATAAACTTATATTTATTGATCTTCTGTAATTGCATTTGTGTTATTCTCTTCTGCTCCTCAACAGGTGGAGTCACTGAGTTGTGTGCGAATAGCGGGTCATTCTCCAATGTATGCCATATTTGGTACTGTTGGGAAAATTAGATTTTATTAAAGATTCATTACAAAAATTGGTTAAAACATGAAATGTGTTTATAAATTGTGTAAGGCTTTCACGGCCATCGTTCAGCATATTGTTGTCTTTCGGGCTGTTCGGCCGATGTGAGCGAGAAGAGGTTCTCGACCTTTCGCCATCACGTGTGGACGGCATCATCAGATGTTAACTCCTCGATTGCTCGAAGAATTAAGAATTAATTAATTCTTCTCGCTCACATCGGATTAGTTATCTTATTTACAATTTACAATTTATTTTCACTGCAACCCCTGGGATATGCTTAGCCTATTCCGCTCGGACTAGTCCGGTTCTAATTGAAATCCTATATAAATTTTACATATAAACTTTTTAGACATTACAGTATGAAAAATAAATAAACCAACTCATGTCTATATATATTATAGTCTTGGTAAAATTTAATCTATACTGATATTATAAATGCGAAAGTAACTCTGTCTGTCTGTCTATTTGTCCGGCTTTAACTCCGAAACTTATATTTTATTATTATTAGTGAAGTGATTTAAATAAAATTTGGTACACAGATATTTTAGAGCCCAAAAAAGGTTTGATAGAGGTTGAAAAAAAAGGTTAAAGTTTGTATGGAAATTTGTGGTTTCTGAAGCTAGAACAATGAAACTTTCTTCTTTGGCTTTTTGGGAAAAGGAGTGGGAGTGGGAGTGAGTACCTACCTACGTATGAGAGGAGTGATGTCAGGTGAGAGTGTTGCGGCAAAGTAGCACTTAAAGCACATATTTTGGCTGCCTTAAATGCACTGACATGCATTCATAAACAGCCTAAATAATTAAAAATTCTACCCCAAAACATTATTCCACGCGGAGGAAGTCGCGGGCGTAGCTAGTAATTATATATATGGCAGTATAAATTTCAGTATTGTGTCATGCTACTTAACATTTTCATGATACATGATAATTTACGATCTGATATACTATGTCAAACGTCACAAAAGATTTAATAATTTACGACTTCATAAGTGTAGCCTTCGATAACTAATACACAATTGAATTAAACGTTTTTATCGGTTTAAAACGCGTTTATACCCAGGGGACCTCGTGACTATCTAAAACACCAAGTATTCAATAATATATTTTGTATTTTAAATAATAGCGTTTCATTTAAATATGTACAACATGCGGGAACTACAGACAATACTCAACGATTTAGTATAATAAATTCATTTTCTTATATGCAAAATTTTGGTTATTTTTATAATTTAAGTAAATATAGTTAAATTATTGACCTTAAGATATTTGGAGCAAATAATATCAATCAAAACACAGGAAGTTTGCATGTATTGAACAAAACATGAAAAATGCAATGTGTCACGGTTGTACGGATAAGAAAGTGCATTGATTACCAATGGCTTACTTTTATAGTTCAAATGAGATTAATTTACAAATAAATTAAAGATGACATAGAGTGAACTTATAATGGTTTTTAATTAACAGCTTTTATATATTTACAGTCTAGACAAACCCAATTATAATTACATATAAGCAAATATAACTTTTTCCCAAATATGAATAAATTTCTTACCTAACGAGTATAAATTTAATGGTTCATACACAATTGTAAAGTGACTTATAGAGTTATCTATAAATAATAACTCAAAATTATTTATAAAGTAACTATTTTTGTATGTAATGTGGTTATTATAACGATTATAAGAACTTTGTGTTAATAATAGCATACTACCAACTATAATTAAAAGAAAATAATTTGAATATTTCCACTGACATCAAACTTATATTACTTCAGAGTATGTCATACTCAAAAACAATATACATTCTTAATTACATATACAAATTAAATGATTAAATAAAAAAATAAACATGCAAGAATGCTACATTCACTTTCCTTTAAAATTCCTTAAGCCTTTAAAGTTTACATCATATAAACCGAATTAAACTATAGTAAAAAAACAAAAAGCAGATTAACAAAAAAGTTTATTAATTTACAAGGTCAACCACCTGAATCTCGAATTGTATCAAAAGTATTACATCATATTAAATTTTATTAAAATATAAATAGAAACACCGGCTCGTAGTTAAAATCACTTTTAAGTAAGTTTAACTTATATATATCGCGTTTTAAACTGTAAATGTGTACTATTTGTATAAACTACAGGCAGAAAATATAAAATGATATTATAAATATTACTGCTATTTTTATACTTGAAGCCTTTAAGAGCAAGCAAATTGTTATTGTCTTTAAAATATATGATTTATATGTGGGAATTAGAAACATCGCAGAGAGATTTTGTAATAAGGCAATAATATTAACATAATTAATGATTACTTAAAAAGACATTGATTCGTAAATTGTAACACAAAAGTAGCTAAAATAGAAATAGATGACTTACTTTGAGCTTAAGTAATTCAATATCCCCTTCCAAAGCCAGTTTTAATTTCTTCCAATTGAATGAAGAAGTCTTTCTATACTCATCCAAGGGCCCATTCGGCAGATTTGGGATAAAACCTAAGTCTTCCATCTAGAAATAGTTCAATATATAACCTTTCTAATAGAACACCAGCCGAAATTAAAATGTATTGATATATTGTAGTTAAACTATCACCTTGAAATTAACGAAGTAAATTTAGTAACACACTTCCTCGCCACCAGCGTAACTGGCACTGAGCTTGAATTGTGAGGAAACGCCTTATTAATACTTTTAACGTTATCACAAAACCCGTGAGCACCGCGGAGGAATATAATTTAAATGGACATAACACAAAGTACAGTGTAAGATGGAGACTAGACGTGCGGCAATGTTTTTTAAAGGTGTATTAATTGTTTAAAATAAATATTTTTTGATATAAATCGAATTTCGCACATCGCTTTCGACTTTCGTTATCGCTTGATCGGGCAAAACTTAACTTTTTTACGCTCACTGTTCTTGGCGGCTATCTCGTTTGACGTCGCTGTCACATTAACTGTCAAGATCGATTTTTTATCGATTCTTTTAAAATCGATCAGTTTTTACTATGTTGTATGGTTTTTTATGTACCAAAAAAAAAAAAACAAAAAAACATTTTTGGGGAGATTTTGGATTTAATGAATATAGCCTTTAAAAAGAATAACTTTTACAACAGGCAAAATCTCGCATGATCACTGTTAAAACGGTAGAGATTTTATAATTTATTTATCCTGTAAGCAAAACCACTTATGCTGTATTAATGTCAATAATTTTAAGATATAATGATCTTTAATAACGTTCCGAGATTTGGTACTTTTATTCTATAGCAGATATAGAATAAAAGTACCATATTTTCAAATTTTCAAAAATGTTCTTTTAAACAATAGATATAGATATAAAATAATATAATAAAAGTAACATTTTAATAAAAAGCATAAACCACTTTTTTTGAGTTGCAATTAAAATAATCAAACTGTAATTATTTATTTACAAAACGAAACCTACAAGAATTAAAATCTTACGTACTAACTTATTGCTATCTGTCATTAGTGCCATCTGTTGCCAGTTTTTGTAACCTTGTAAGAGAATGAAGTTTATATTTTATAGAATATATGTAATTCTTGTTCATTAAATAATTTGGAGCTAGAAAATACAGATTAGTCCATAGAGTAGTAATATATATTGAAATAAGTTAAGTCCATCTTAAACTAGCATTCGAGCGAAAATAAACCTCTTGAGTGTTTTCATTTTGATGAACTCTGAACCCCAAACCACTGGCGTATTGCACACTTATACGTTAAAAAGAGATTTTTTCATGTGGGAATTGGTGTTCCTATCTCAACAAGTGTAGGGAGAGTAAATAATTATAGACACCGGGGTGTAAGTCGTTAATAACTTACAGTGCCATCTATGTATTATATCTCAAACTTTGTATAAACTGCACAAAGTTTTACCTTTACCTCTTGGTCTAGTCTTGATTATTAAACAAGAGGTGGCAGCACAAGGCTAAATCACGTACAGTATCTGAATGAGACAACAATAGGCGTCTCTATCCAGGTCTGAGCGAGACACCACTACAGTCGCCTACACCTACAAAACTCACACATTAACCCACCTGTAAACAAGAAGAGAGAAGTTGTAAAGCAACAACTCGGGCCGCTGCTCGCTCGGTGCTTTCCTATCAGATGTCAAATGGTCGAGTGGTGGTATCGTCGTGCGCTCGCTATATTCACGTGTCCGATATAAAATCGATGTTTATTTTGACGCGAAAACGAATTCTGTTTACGTGATCGTTCGACTTCGGTGCTTCCGCGTACTGGAGATAGTGTCATGCGTTAGTTATTTTTTCTGGACAGCCGCGATCGTTCGCAGTGATTTCGCCGATATCCGACGGTTGGTGCGCGTGATAAACTACGTGTTCGGTTTTGAGGCGATCTGTCGTCTGGTGTGTGTGTGTTTTAACTTGAACAGTGCCATGATGCTGTGCACTGTGACATAGTGAACGTTAGAAGCGGCCCTGACCTCTGGCAATCATGTCTGGGCGATCGGATTGCCGTAAGTTCGCGCCGAACATCTTCAATAAGAGCAAGTGCACTAATTGTTTTCGTCAAAAGGAGGAGCACAGTGCTGAAGCATTGGAATCTAATCGGGTGAGTAATACTATTAAATTCGAATTCTGTAAACTCCAACGTTAGGTTGCGCGTGCGCATGTATTGCGCCAGTTTCGTGTGTGTGCGTAGGCTGACCATTGCTCAGGTGTTGATCTAACGGAGTATGTACTTAACTATTTGTGAGGTAGATTTATAATATTGGTTAATTTGGATTAATCAAATCGACAAATCATTACATCGCCTTCTACTACTAGACTAGTAGTGGTGGTAATAATGCTTGGTTTTAAAAATACTACCTACTTAAAAAACCTGTCAAAATGACTACATTGCGATGATGAAAATTATTTGTCGAACCAGTATCGTGTTAAAAAACAACCCGACATATTTTTAAGTTCGTTCAAATTAAAGCAGGTACCTACCTACCTACCTATTTTCGAAATAATGTGTTGTATTTCCAATTTTAACATTTGAGCAACATACAAAAGTGGTTTTCGTTCGATAACTTTGAAAACAATTTACGTAACAGTATATAACCGAGTATCCGAACGAGTTTTTGTAGCGTTATTTTTTATCTGTTAAAAGATATATTTAACAAAAACAGCGTCCCGTTGCAAGCAGGATGCGTTTGCGCATCTCTGGCATCTATGGCTCGCGCCAAATATGGTATCGCTTCTCAACAGATACGATTAGTATCTAATAGAAATATATTGGGTTTTGTGGTAGTCAAACATGGATACTTAGCGAATATAATATAAATAGTAGACATTTAAATAAATCACTTCAACGGTTTAAAACGCGAAATATTTAAGTTAAACTTAGTTCTAAATTATTTTAACTACGGCCCGACGTTTCATTAAAATTCCCCTCGTGACCACGGCTGCTATATAGCCTCTGAAAGGAATATATTTCACTTTTTAAACTGGTGTTGTTTTATATTAATTGATAGATAAAACCTACGAACCGCTTGGTTAACAAGTTAATACCAATCATACCATAAACATGAAATATTTATTAAAAATAGTCTATCCGTTTCATGGGTAAATAGACACACCCTGGCACGTAAGATTTATACGGGAATGAGGGTATATGTATCTTAACTAGACATTCAAAGGCAATCGTAATTTAAACACAGATGGAAAAGACGTCTGACTGAACAAGCAAAATTTAATACTCAAATTGTATTTGATAAACAATTAAAGTATTTCCCACTAAAATACTTGGTGGGTAGTTTGTTTTGGACTCCAGTTACTGTTTTGTTGCCAGCGCTAATAACATGATCGATCAAACAAATGAATAACGACTCAACAAAAATGTTAATCACAATTCGTCAAATTTAAATTATGTTTCAAGGTGCCTTTTGACATAATTCGTAAACGCCCGCCATTTTTTTTTTGCCTTCAATTCGTGTAATTTCGTCCTAATGGACGTCTCGCAGGAAACGTTTCAAAATTATCGCAACGTGAGTAGATATTACCGAGTGTTATCTAATATGATTTAGTTTTAAGCCCGATAACGAGTTAACGAGTTATTTTGGACTAGATAAAGGCGATGAGGTCATGCATTAAGGGGACTTCAAATGCATTAGTTTATATGGTGTTTTTAATACCCTCAGAGGTTTGTGAGTTTAATTCTCTGCGAACATAACTTCGGTTAAAAGCAAAACTTTGACTTGACTATAAAAAATATTGTACGCTTGTATCAATATACATAGTGTATGTATTAAGTTTTAAAGTCAGGGGAGCAGAACATTTTTATCGACAAAAATTTACCTACCTACATTAAAGTTTGTCATGAAATCTCCCAGAAAGAGAAGAAAAAGAAAATAACATAGGTCTGTCTATCCATTGAAAAGGTTACATTATCTTCCATAAACAAAACCTCATTTATAATTATAGAACCAATTAACTTAGAAACAATTAACCAATTAACTTCTTAGTTTCAGAAATTACGCAAAGGGGTATAATCAGATACAAATAAATTATTAATAATATAAAAAACTTTGACAGTAACTCAGTACTATATAATTTGTTAAAGCACTAAGAACGTGTATTTCTATAGAATGAAGTGTTAATAACAGAGCAATTATTGCTAAATCAATACGTGTGAACGATATATTAGATAAAAAGGTCATTTCTGGTAGCGCTAGCTATCTTGAAACTTAAATTAGTCACAGATAAGGAATTGATTGAATATACCAAACATATGTGATAGATGATTGTACCTAGAATGTCTTGATTTACGACAAAACCGTTTTATAGAGTTTAATGAAATTGACTTGGCTGTCACGCGAACTACAAAAAATAATGACATGCAAGTTTTAAAATAGGTATTTAGTTAAAATATAAAAACATACGTCTACCCTCACAGATTTCGTCAATTAGATAATAATTATGATTCAATAATCACTGATTTGAAAACACAATTCCTCGTTAATTTAAGCCACAAGGTTTTTCAGTATTATCTATAGTTAACGCGAGTGTTGCCTACATTTCAATAAAACCGTATATTTAAATAAAATGCTTTTAACGGTTTAAAACGCGAAATATATTAGTATATATGTATGTATATATATATGTGTGTATGTATTATTAGTATTTTTGCATTTTAAACCGTTAAAAAGTGTTTTATTTAAAAATACGGTATTTCGTACAGTATATTTGTTACATGCATATTAATATGACTTAATGTTGAGCTATATTTTTTATTATTATCAATATATATTTAGTTACGTGAAGTAATTGTAATTTTATCTTTGTTTAGTTGACCTCAGATCGGGTTAATGAATTTTTCGCTCGTGTTATTATATTGTCTGCGCAAGAGTGGGCCTCAACGGGGTAAGCCTTGTGTAAACACCTGCGTAAATGATACACGCGTGTTTGGACGTTTCTTGAATTATCGGTTCTACTGATAATAAGCTTCATCAGTTGCTGTTATATTAAATTTCCGTATATAATCTATACTAATATATAAAGCTGAAGAGTTTGTTTGTTTGAACGCCCTAATCTCAGGAACTACTGGCTCGACTTGTTCTTTTTGTGTTAGTTAGAACTATTATTGAGGAAGGTTATTTGTTTTTGTGTGTCGCATTCGCTGTAAAAACGGCTCAAGATACCAAAAAAATATGTATAAAATAATGGTGCCTCCTTAAACGATAAAAAAAAATATCCGCGACAGTATATATGTCTATCTTTCTCTTTTAAGATTAACTTGCAAGAACGACGGGACGCGACCGACACGCGAATTTGGATGGCCAAATTAACGCGGACGAAGTCGCTGACACAGCTAGTTAAAACATACAGTGATGAATAGGCGATGATATATTGTTGTATGAAAGCTTTCTTTTTCTTAAGATGTGCTTTTTAAACACATTCCTTGATGACAGTTGAATGATAGATGAACATCAAGTACTGTATCTGCTTTACACGAGTAATACACATTTAAATAAAACACTTTTAACGGTATAAAATGCGACATTTAGATGACTTATTTACAACTTATTTCAAATTGTTAAAAAGTATAATTTTAAATAGTTCTACCGATGTTTTTAAACACACGGAGCTGGAAAAATTTGATACAAACACACCATAACCACGCCTAAACAAATTAGTTTTAAATATATGCAATGGTGATACAGTGTAGACCACCTCTGTAGCTAAATGGTTAAACGTGTTGCCTAGCAGTGTGTAAAGCGCGAGAGGTCCGGGGTTCGAATCCCGGGGAAACAATCGATTGTTTTGGTCGGGCAGGGCACATAAGTCTGATCAACTACTTGCCTGTTAATAAAAATCGATCAGTGAACGGACACAGAAATGTGTTCGCCCCATGGGGCATGGGGCGAACACATTTCTGTGTCGAGGATAAATGGGACATGCAAATACAGTGTAAAAGATACAGATCAAGAGGTCAATGATATCTATAACATAAACAATCTATACAGGCACAATATGTGGACGGCTAGATATAAAATCCTATTTGAGTGTATTTACAAAGGTCCGCTTTTTTAAACTTTTCGCAAGAAAGAATTCCGAGCGAATCTCCTTAAAGCATTCCTTAAATGGACTTGAACCGTCGTATAATATGTAAAAGGCTCTCGAAATAACGTCCGGCGATTCATACTTTTCCTCTCTTTGAATTATCGGTTCTCAATGAAAAGACAGGAAGCCCAATCAATGCCAAAATAATTTGAATTAGAATTCTTGACACAAAAATTCCGTAAGGTCGCTTTTATCGTTCTACACTTAACCCAGTTTGTGTTTGTGAGTTTAGGTAGCGAGTATATATTTCATTTTAATAATCGATTATTTGATAGTACAAGTCAAGGATATATATGGTTTAAAATTTAAAGACATCTTATTTTTTGTTTTATTTGGATTTATCACACACCAAGCATAGTTCAGAAGTACACTTATTACCTTTTTTTTATAGGTGTTACCATTATTAAGTAGTTATTTCTATATTTCCTTTTTTCTTTTATTGTTCATTCTAAATTATGTTCACGTCCCTCATTATATCATTGTAACACTTTATTAATCTTTACTTTGACTTATCTATTATAGAACTATCCTCTGTATCTTCATGGTTAAACGGGCATAGAGGTCCGGGGTTCAAATCCCGGGAAACAACCGTCGTCGGACCGGGCACGCAAGTCGGATACCTTCTTGCCTGTAAAAGATCCAATCGGTGTAACAGACAGAGAAATGTGTTCGCCCCATGCCCCACTGGCGGAAACGGGATCTCACCAATTCTTACAAGACTTAACTGCGTTGTTATAACGCTAATCAGTATAATTTTCAAACTAAATGATTTGCCGACGTCACAATTGTAGAATTGTTTTCCAATTAGGCGGTGGTGTTAAAATCGCATACATTACCTTAGACGGACATTACAATTTAGCACTGAACAAGTCGATTTTGTATACAAGATGTTAAAGCCAAGGCTGAAATGAGATCGGTGCCACGCCATTATAGCCTTTATTCCCTTCCAATAGGTGAGATTTGAATTTGTTTATACGGAAACAGCCTCAAATGGCGCGCTTCGGGCAATTATCTTGACAAATGCTCCGCTAACGAAGCGAACTGTCATAGTCCATATTCGATGAACGTCAAGCTTAAGCTATGGGCTTATTGATGAGCTCAACT